TTCTCTTCTCTTCTCTTCTCTTCTCTTCCAATAACAGGAGTCAGGAGCTGCTTAAGTCCAGCTTCTCCATCACCTGTTGTGTGCACATGTTCATTTTGCCCTCCCCCCTACAGATCCATTAGAGAACGATCAGAGGGGGGGCACCTGCAGTGGAGGGGCTCAGAAACGAAAATAGCAGGCCGCTGACCAGAGTACAGCTCCGGCTAAACTCCACGTGTAAAGTGCTAGCATTGAGCCTGGAGAAGCGCAGGCAGGCAGGCAGGCAGGCGTTGTTGTGCTGGCGATGGGGGATGATTGAGTCATAGCAGAGCATTAGTAATCATGAATTTCAACACGGCCTCTTCCTGGTGCTGTGGCTGTTCCCTGATGGTGGTCAGCCTCGGGCAGGGCGCACCCAGCTCTGTGGAAACTCATCCATTTGTTTTGGTTTTGGCGGGACGCTCTGAAGGCGTCTGAGGAATCCTCGTGCAGGCTTTAGCTGCTTGCAGTTTCATGTTTTTCGAGAGCGTGTGCCTGAGTTCATGCCTAATTGTTTTGGTATTTCGCTGAGTTGTAGTGTTGTTCATTGCTAGGGACAACCGTCCTTCTCATACATTTTTTCCTGCAGTCTTCACAAATTAGTTCCAATTTACATTTGAATTAAACCTACGAGATAAATATGATCCAAGTTTAATTCTCATGGGAGGAAAGAAATCAGCTAATTGTCCGATTCTCTTCCCCGTGGGAGGAAAAAAAAACTTTGAGTGAAGTTTATTAGCCGATATCTTTGTAGCGGGCTTAATCATGCGTATAATGCACATTGCTCATTGTCATTCTATTTTAAGCGTGAATTGGAAAACAAGCTGTCAATCAAAGCGCTCTCTGCCCCTCTGAGTCACTCCGCTCCTGAGAGCGCAGCCCCTCCTCACCACGGATCAGCACCTAGTGGTCATGGTGGCTAGAGATGGACCTAAACACTGATCTGAGACCTGTTGCATGTCAAAGCTGAGATGCTCTTGCAGCTGCAGATGGATCAAGAACACAAGATCCTCCTTCATATCTGACCGATTAGAGGCTTTATTTGTATCCTGAGAGACGTACAGCCTCTCTATAGATCTGTATCTCTCTCTCTCTCTCCCTCTCTCTCTCTCTGTCTCGCTCTCTCTTTCTGTCTCTCTCCCATTTCTCATTCTCTTTCTTGTTCTTTCTCTCTTCTATTCTTTGTCTTTCTCTCTTTCTTTCTCTCTATTTTTCAGTTTCCCTCCTTTTACCATTTCATATCTCTCGTCCCCTCTCCCTATCCCCTTTTTCTCTTTCTTTCTTTCATTTTCTTTCTTTCTTTCTTTCTTTCTTTCTTTCTTTCTTTCTTTCTTTCTTTTTTATCTCTCTTTTTGCTGTTTACTGTTTTTCTATTTTGTTCTTTCTCTCTTTTTCACTGCTCTCTCTCTCTCTCTCTCTCTCTCTCTCTCTCTCTCTCTCTCTCTCTTCTCTCTTCTCGTCTTCTCTCTTCTCTCTCTCTCTCTCTCTTCTCTCTCTCTCTTTTCCACTGAAGTTCCCGAGTGTGAGCTTTAAAAAGAATAGAATGAGAGGAGTGGGGGGGTGGGGGGGGCGCAGGGGAGGGGGCCGGAGTTAGGGGTGGTTACCATGGTTCCCTCACCATAGCAACCAACAAACGTTTACAAAGCATTGAGGAATTTCCTCATATCAGCTGGATTATTGGAGCCCCTAGAGACGGACTCTCACTCGAAACAAACGCTGGAGCTCATCAGAGCCCTGCTTGGTGTGTGTGTGTGTGGGTGTGTGTTTGTTGGGGGGTTGCGCTTTCTTTTCTTTTTAATTTAAGGGGTTTGGGGTGGTGATGCCCCTCCCTCCAAAATACAGACACCATTCTTTCCAAAACACACACTCCTTCTCTCTCTCTCTCTCATGTCTCTCTCTCTCTCTCTTCTGTCTTTCACTCCGCAGGAGATGTGCCATTAATATCAGTCTGTTTTTATCCATCTCTTCCCTCTTTCCCTCTCACGCTGGCTCGGCCTCAGCTGGGAGGAGCTCAGCGAGACCAGGCGGCGAGTTCAGGAGAGCATGCTGGGTTTCTCCTCAGACCAACTCCACAGAACTCCCACTCCTAATCACTGAAATCACAATTACTGCTCAGTTATTCAGTCAGTTCAGGAGCAAAATAGTTTTATTGCTCTTAAATCCTCTTAAATCAACAGAAAACACACATTTTTTTTCATGCTATACATTTTAAGCCTTTATCACTTGTGATACGTAAATAAAAATTTAGTAAATGTGTAAATTAAGATAAGATTTATTGAGTATATCTTTTAAATGCTATAGAATTAGACTGAAAACAACCCAAACCTATTCAAAACCTAACCAGACCCTGACTAAATTTTATCCAAACCTGACCTGAAGCACTTCCTCCAGTTTTGAGTCCAAACCTGACTTGAGCCAGACCAGTTTGTCTGAACTCAATCAGAACCACATCATATTTTGAGCCTGAAACTGACCCATGTCTAACAAAATTCTGTTCAAAACTGACCTGAAACAGCCCATCATAACCCAGCGTGCTGAATAAAACCCGACAGGACAGCGCCGGTTAAATTACTTCAAAGCAAAAACAGCAGCCGTCATTAGATCACAGACAAATACAAAAAAACTATATAAAATAACGATTTACTCAAACAATCAGCTGTCAAAAATGTTGAAATTCTGCTTTAACAAAATTTTTCATCATAATTAATAATTTAATACAGCTTCAAAGTTTTTTGTAGTCTGGATAAACGTTCCATAATGCGCTGTTTCATAACCCACATGTCTGTTTGCTCACAAGTGGTCCTCGTGAATGTCATGCTAAATTTATGAGTGAGTGACTCCAGCATGCCAGATAAAAATGGTTTAAACATAATGAAAGTGTGGGGTGTTAGGAGTGGGAGGTCTATGAGAACCTGAACGTGACATTTGAACATGACACATATTTGGCAAATGTCGTCGTGAGCCCTATTCGGACAAATATTTAAGGCTCTAAACAACACTATGCAGCCATAAAGAAAAGATGTACACAGACAAAGCAGTTACATTATATTCACATGTGTGTTTTTCCAGGAAAAACAAGCCTGTCAACATTATATAAGTAACAAATAACCAAAAAATATTTCTAATATGAGCCAAATAGCAAGGATTAGCAAAATTAGGATTAGCAATTTGAGGAAGGCAATTGGTGTAGCAACTTGTCTAATGCACACACACACACACACACACACACACACACACTCTGCTCCTGGCTGTAGTTGAACTCCTGCCTGAGTGCAGCGCTTGGTTGTGATTGGACTGTTAATGTAGCTTTTGTTCATGCAGCTATAATGCGGTTCAGAGGTGAGTGGCTCCTGGGGGTCCAGTTGCCCGGCTCTGCTGGGTTTGGCCCGGTCTCTGCTCTCTCTCGCTGGCCCGGAGTGAATGCGCGAGCTGCGTGGTGAAAAGGCTCTTTGTGGGGCCTGCTGGCAGATTCGTTCTCTCAGAACTCCGAATCATTTTTATTCGCCAAGTACAAGATGCAGAAGGAATTTCGCTCTCTGCAGGTGTCGAGAGTTCTGGGAAAAGTAGGAATGCTCAAAATAAGTTGGTATCATAAGAGATGTGGAATGAGTGTTAAATTTTACAAGATGTGAACAGTTGTGAAGATGAAGGTGAGCCTTTATAACAGTACACATAATATCTCTGAAATGGTATATAGAAAAAGCATAAATATACATAATTGTGATTCTATTGGTCCATGCTTTACCATACGTTCATACAATGTAAAGGGCAGCTTGTGTTTTAAAATTAGAGGATATACCACTGTTTCCCTCACCGATACTACTGTTGAAACGTAGAGTATTGGCGGATACCGATACCAAAACAAATCCAATATTTTTTCTTTAAAAACATCTTTAAGCTTTAAAATAACCTTTTCACACAACGAGTAACGACACAACCCTAGCTTCCTCTCCACTCCACTGCTGATTCAACTTTGAAAAATGCTCAAAAATGGGACATACACTGACCGTTTGGGACGGGAAAAGGCTGGGCACTAGGCCAGAAAGCAAACAGATGACAGGGATGGACCGAATGAGTTGTGTTTAAGTAGGAAATGTGGAAATATAACACTGAAAAGTTAGCAATGGTGGCAATTTCTGCTAATAACAGGCAGAAAAGAGGTGAAAACACATTACAAGACATCATCATTTTACAGAGCATTCATGTGATGTGCTGTGGCAGTTTTTCACACAGCTAGACTTAACTTACATTAGGTAGAAGAGTGAAAACCTTGTTTAAATTATGACTGTCTTCTCACAGTCCACGTTTCGTATGTCAAACTCCTGTTTGTTGAGCGCTGCATGAGGTGGGTGTCGTCATCAGAGGGTGGGAACATTGGTTGATCGATATGCACTGATTGTACTGATCTACGTCATGTGTGCCTATGGCAGAATGGAACCAGAAGGGGCCCTTCAGAGGCTGAACTGACCACAGTAATGACGTCATTGTGACAGGTTGAAAAATGTGTTAAAAGTTCAGTAAGACTGATGTAATATGTATATTATATAATATATATTTCATGAAAAAAAGGCATTAGGATGTACGTACCCTTTAAGATGAGCATCCAAAAGTTGGACAATTCAGAACTTTCCCAAAATCCAAGACTATTCCACATCCAGCCAACATGACCGCATGAACTCCTGCTATTTCAGGATAGATTTGTTACGGGATTTGATCCCATTTATTTATTTTTTCTCTGTATTTTCTAGTGATTTGTGCTTAATACTGATACCTGGTGTCAAAGCAGTGCTATGTGTATTTCAATGTAAAGACAAAAAATCACAAATGAAAATCATGGAGTTGTGAGATTGTGATATGATAAGTACATTATTGACCTCTGCAGTACAGTAAAGTGCTTATGAGCCGTTCATTACAGAAGAAGGCAGTAGTCTCAGTATTCTGAGCTTACCCTAATGTATTTCTGTATGTGTGTTTGTGTACAGGGCATCATGCAGAACCCCGAGGGCGGGTCAGGGTCACTCCCCAGCAACCGCTGTGGCCATACGGACGTCCACTTCAGCCCAAGCACCTGTCGTTCAGCCAGTCCCTCCATCACAACAGGTTCATACTTGCACAGCACACAGAAATGACTGGGTAGTTTAGCTGTGAATGACTAGTTTATATCATTACCATGTGTCCCAATATTCCCAATATTTATGGAAAACCCAATATTCCTTGCCTTTTTTTGAAGTTTCGAGTTTGATGTAGGATGTAAACATGTTAAACGTTCACTCCCCAGCAACAGCTGTGGCCATGCGGACGTCCACTTCAGCTCAAGCACCTGTCGTTCAGCCAGTCCCTGCATCACAACAGGTAAACACGGGCACAGATAACCAAGTAGTTTAGCTGTGAATGATTAGTTTATCTCATTACAACACGTCCCTAACACATTTGTCGTGTTGGTCAATGTACAGTTGTACACAAAAGTTTGAATAGCCCTGGTCAAATTACTTGTTTAGTTGATTTGTGAAAATAAGTTAACACCCTCTACAGGATAGTTGTGCGTTAAAATATGCAGAAGTGTAGAATAAACTGTGTTCAGTAGAGGATTAACTTATTATCACTTAGAAAATCAACAAAACATGTAATTCAACCTGGGGTGCCCAAACTTTTGCATACAGTACCAGTCAAAGGTCGGGATGCACTTTCCTTCCCGGAAAATGTTTGCATTTCAGTTTCTTTGTTGGGAATAAATTAATACATAGGTATCAACTTCACTGTTTCTATTTGTCTTAGAAAGAAATTTCAAGCATGTAAAGGGGAACTCCATCCATATTTTAACGTTTCTGCATGATTTTGTTGTTGTGATGTAATTGATTCCTTGAGGTTGTTTTTCCTTGAGGTTGTTTTGGTATGAAATTGTTCACTGTAGAGACGCTTACAGACTCAGATTTCCTTACAGTGGTGGCGATAGGAACCAGAGGTCATAATATCTGAAAATGTAACTATTTTATTTACTATCCAAACCCACCAGTGAACCTATATGTGTCCTCTGAGCTTTTATATGTGATGTTGAAAAAGGTAGATTAGTAGTAAATCTGAAAGAAATGCATTTTTGTTTGTGTACTATTTTGTCTTAGAACACCCTGCATATACTTCTCTGCCATAATTACATTAAAAATGAAGTTTTAGGTTGTAATCTTATATCTAAACTATGTCTTGGGCATTAGGCTGCATATTTGTAACTATTTAGGCCCAATCCTATTTCACCCCTCGCCCCTATCACTTAGCCCTTACCCTGCCGTTCACGTCTAGGGGTAGGGTGTCTCGATTTTTTTTGTTGAGATAGAGGGGTAGGGCGAAGTGTTGGGGCTACATGGCCCTCCAAACAGAGATTTTTCAGAGGCTCCAAACAGAGAGTTATGAGAAAAAGATGACTGTGACCAAAGAAACACACAAATGTGAGAATTTTCTTTGTTAAAAAATACGCTAACCACTGTTTTATGTGGTGTGCTAATGTCTTGGTAGCTAGCTAGCTAAATTTTCCGTTCCACCTTAAATTTTGCAGCAATTCTATTCTGTTGCACCATTTAAGGTGGAACGGGAAAATGCGAACAAGAAGATGGCGAATAACTGACTTCAGCTTCATATCACCAAAGAATTAGGGGTGGGCTATAATAAGTAAGTGACACCCCCCCACCTTTTTGAAGGCATATGATGCCCTAAATGTAACTAAAGCTCAGCAGTGAGGAGATGAACTTTACCCTCCTCTGCTGTCACTGCAGACTGGCAGGGTCGCCTACAGAGCAGCGCTAGTAATGAAGCTGTTAATGAAGTAATGCTCTTTTTATTTGAGGGTCCCATTTCATAGAGGAAGATCTCGACCACTACCCCTTGTATCTTAGTTCAGAAGGAACAAGGTGGCACCCGAAAACAAGAGGTAGGGGTAAAAGTAAGAAATGAGACTGGGTCTTAGTGCCCCCTTAGTTAATGGGGGCATTAAAAGCTTTAGGTGTCTGGTTCCCATCACCACCACTGTGACTCAGTGAAACCTCTCTGAATGACTATTTTTTATCTTAAGAGATTTATTCAGATAAGTCAAAAGGTAGGAGTTCCCCTTTCACCATAAACCTTTAGATCTAAATGTCTTTAGAATTAACAAAAACGTGCATACAATCAGGTGTGTCCAAACTTCTGACTGGTGTTGTGTCATATTAGTCTGAATAAGATGCAGAAATAGCATTTCTGTGTGACGGGTTCATAATCTCAGTCCTGGTGATGCCATACGCTGCACGTTTTCAGTCTAGCATCTTCCCAGGTTTGTGATGAAGAACCTTTTAAGCAGTGCAGCCATCATCATCTCTCTGTCGGCCAGTTGCTCCGAGATTTAGTGGCTGCTGGATGGTGTAGGAATGATGGAAGATTGTTCTCCACAAGAACCTTCCTCCTCACTCACGTCCTCGCGCCGCCAGAGCGAGCTGAAAAATGATTTGTCATGCCGATGTCAACGGCTGGAAGGAGAGATGTTGGGTTTGGACCGACCATCCAGCCTGAGACGTCCAGAGAGACCCGGCTGGAGATAATTTAGATTAAGGCGTTCGGGGTGTGCATCACGTATGGCTCTGACAGCTTTACGTTTTTGAAGAAAGCCAGCGCTGAGCTCAGAAACCACCAGCGACCTTCAGCATAAGCCGTGCTCGCTGGGAGGCCCTGGTCTGCTTAGGGCTCTGACGGTGAACTTAAAGGGCCCAAATCATGGAAAACCCAATATTCCTTGCCTTTGTTTAAAAATGTGAATCTTAGAATATGAAGAACATTTAAAATGTTCACTTCCTACTCGTTGCAGTCCATATAGGACGATAAGCTGCAGAAACAACACGTTTGGAGTTGTTTTTGTTGAATTGTTGTTTTTGTGATGTCATGAAAATCAACACAAGTTTACATATATATTCAGCCTACAGCAGGTTAAGCTCCACCCACTCACGCTGAAGTTAAGTTTCAGCCTGAACTGTTTTTGAACGAACCACAATACAGGGCAGCCAATTAGGAAAGAGATCATTTACATATCAGTGTGTGTTGGATTAGAATTTCATTTACACTCGATATCAACACACCTTCAATGAATTCTGTGCAAATGATGCTGATTAATTTAATAGTTTTTCTAAAGACGTCATCATATGAGCAAAGCCAGTGAAACACTCCGTTCCGCCATTTGTTGTAGAATTCTTGCTTAGTGACTTTGGTTTCCGTGGCTACGGTGACTCAAAATAAAACTGTGTTAATGCCGCACAAAACAAAATCGCTTAGCAACAACTGTGTAACGACGACGAGGGTTTTACCGTCCCTACAGCCGGCGATGCTTAATGCTTTGTAACCATCGAGGCCCAATCCCATGTCAGCCCTCGCCCCTACCACTCAGCCCTATGGGTTGTTCTCACAAACATGGCAGACACTAGGACCCAACTTCAAAAAAATTAAAATGACTTAAACCCAATATTTTTTTTTTTTAAATATAAAAACAATGATGTCCGTTTGAATTATTTAAAATGAACCTGAATGATTTTCATTCATTTTAAATTGATTTTCATCACCATTTCTGAGTTTGTGGCCAAATTCTCATTAGCGCCACACGTTTTGCTTTACCTTCTACAAATTAGTCATATGCAAATGTTTGGGCACCCCTAGTCAAATTACGTAAAATGAAGTGAACACATCCTCTACAGAGAACACACATCTGCACATGTTAATGCACAACTACTGTTTGCTGAATTTAGCATATTGGGGGGAGGGGGGGTGATAAAACATAAAATGTGGCCTGTGCAAAAGTCATGGCGCATTACATTTTATGTTTTATTTATTTTTTTTCAATAGATTCCAATATAATAGAAATTGTGCACTAACATTAGCAGAAAAGTGCAATATTTGAGTGTGTTCTCTGTAGAAGATGTGTTAAAATATGTTCACTGAAAAATCAACAAAATGTAATTTGACTGGGGGTGTTCAGACTTTTGCAAACGACTGTTTGTGTGATGATTAAGACACTCATATTTGTGGACATGTCTTGAGACAGTTTTGTGAGAATGACGCTGATTGTGTTTGTTGGATAATATGTAGTAAAATGTAATAAGTCAGCCAAAAAAATCAACAGCTTTTCTGAAAAAATCAGAATTGAATTGAATTAAAATTCATTAAAATTCAGGCAGCCCTAAAACGCACGTCAGGAAGACATTCAGAGTGTGCAGCCAGTTTTATCAAATGATGAGGCACTGATTTTTTGTTTTTTTTTGTGCTTGTGTGTGTGCGTGTGTGTGTATATGTGTGTTCCTGTATGGCAGCGAGTGTCAGTTCAGGCCACAGGCTCTTCCCAGAAGGGAGTGCAGGTGCAGCAGCTGTCTAGAGTGCAACAGGTCCCTCAGCAGGTACACACACACACACACACACACACACACACACACACACACACACCTCACAGGACAGGCAGTCTAATCCCGCACACGCCTCGCACATCCTGCAGAGTTCTACCACACCACTTTTCTTTTTCCTATCTCTCCACTCTCTCCTTATCTCTCTCTTTCATTCTCTCTCTCTCTCTTTATCTGTGTGTCTCCAGATCCCTCTTCTCCTAAAGCAGTGCCTCTCTGACAGGCCCCGGAACACTGATATGCCCAATCCGAATTCTGTCTGCCTTTTTTTTTTTCCGGGCCGTGACGGTTCTAGCCCGTCATGATGAGTCCCTTAATGAGCTGTGCTTTGGCCCAGTAGGGCTTTTCTATTCGTTAGCGTGAAGCTTTGTTCCGGCTGCCACCTACTGACTGCATCTCTACCGCGACTAGCGCCAGCTACAAGATCACACTGTCACTCTCTCGTCTCCGCTCTAAACCTGCAGCCTGCTGCTCTCTTATCTTAAACCGTTTCGCTAATGTAGCAGCTTTTGTGTTCACGTCTTGTCAAAGTATTGATTTTTTGCTAAAGCTCTGTTTATGCCTTGCTGTGTGTGTGGCAGGTGCAGCCGGTCCAGCATACATACCCCTCCCAGGTGCAGTATGTTGAAGGAGGAGAGGCTGTCTACCCCAATGGCACCATGTAAGTGACCTCCACTACGGACGTCCAGTTAAAGCTATTATGCAAAGAAAACGTACAGTACTGTGCAAAAGTCGCACTTATTTAATTTCCTGTCAAAACAGCAATTAGGTACAAGTTATTCATTTTCAGGAGATATTATTCGATATTAGTTAATCAACTTGCATAAGGAAGAAAAAAGTGAGTTTCCAAAACTGGAGTTTAAAATCTGATTAAGAGCTACAGAGAAAATAAGACGCATAAACAACCACCTGGAAGAGCTGGTAGACACCAAAACTGCCCCCCATCAGATAAACAGCACTTAAAGCTTTCATCTTTGAGAGAGAGGAGAAAATCAAGCTGCTTCAGATCTGAAAACATCCACAGGTGTTTCTGTCCATCCTTCCACTGTGAGAAGATGACTCAGCGCTGTGGGTCTGAAAGGATGTGTAGCTCTCAAGAAGAACCTCACTGAGAAAAGGAGACGAACACATCAAACAAAGAAGCTGAACGATGGACTGACCACCCCAGAGTCCAGACCTCAACACCACTGGATGTGGTTGGGAATACTTGGATTGTGAGAAAGCAGAAAACTTTGTAGATTTCGTGGAAAAACTAAAAGCAGGTCTCCTGAAAAGAATGGAAGCTATAATGAAGGTTAAGAGTGGAAACACTAAATACTGAAAAAATTAAATTATCTAATACTGAAAAATGAATAACTTAATGGCCATTTTAACTGGAAATGAAGTAAACAAAGGGTGGTCTCTGACTTTTGCACAGTACTATATCTGTAAGGGTGTAGGGATTTTAATAGAAAATTAAAATAGAGTGTAAATATGTGTAATATTTTACCCCTACATATCAGACCTTTTCTACACTGTAAACAGTCAAATATTTTGCTTTGCGTTGTTTCATTCTCAGTGTTTAATTCAGTTCAATATAACCAGTTGAATTGCTTGGTACCGCATGTCATTTTTAGATTGAACTTAACATTATTTATTTTTACATTTATTTTTATTAATTTAAACCACATTCATTCATTTTTTCACCGTCTGACTAGTTTAGCTTGCGTGGCTTTAAAGTGGTCAGATAGCCCAAAAGGGTTTAAGCACCACAGGGTCCTGTGTCAAATATTAAGTATCTACAGCACAGTTAGTGAACCAGTGGCACAGTGGATAAGGTCCAGTGGAGTGAAGTCCACCTTTCTTAAGGACTGTTTTCTCTGATATTCAGCAGATCTTTCCAGTAAAAGGTTTGATGTTTCCTCTGTAGTGTAGTGACACCCTTCGTAAGCCTTGCGTGCTGGAATGTTCGGTCATTAAACCTCAAAGGGTCGTTAAGAGGCTTAAAAGCCTTTCAACTTTTTCAATAATATATAAGTAATTAGACCACAAATAAATGTTAATTACATGTTTATGAGGGGTGTGAACGTTAAACAAGGCAGATTTGATTTAATTTTTGTATTTTTTTTTTTATGTTTTGAAGTCTATATACACGATAACGTCCTTCTATCGCTTTAAGAGTTTCTTTTCTCTGTATTCCCTACGAATATTTCGCTGTTGTCCGAAGAAAAACTTGGTCTCCAAAATGGTAACTTTACAGGAGAAGGAAAAAACCTGCTTTACTTTTAATGTAAGTCAATGGAACCAGACTTTTTTCTAAGTCGTTTCTTTTAATCCATTCATGATGAAATTTGCAGACAATATAAAGAGTAACAGGCATTTTCAAATTATGTCAAAAACTGAAAAACGTAAAAAATGGAGATACGAGGTTTTCTTCAGACAGCAGGGATATATAGATCTGGTGCATTTATATGATGTAGATTTTTATGAGAAACTTACATTATATGAGAAATAAACTACATGCAAAGTTCTCTCTTTTTGTCTCTCTCTTTCTCTCCTTCCTTTTTTGTTGTTCTTTTCCCCTTTCCTCTTTCTCTTCTTCCTTTTTCTCTCTACTTCTGCCTTTTTCTTTCTCTCTTTCTCTTTTTTCTGTTTCTTTTTCCTCCCCTGTCACCCTTTTCTCTTTCTGTCTCTCTTTTAGCCGCACTGCATACTCCTACTACACGGAAGCCCAGTTGTACGGGCAGGGCAGCACCTACTTTGACTCCCAGACAGGGGGGACGCAGGTGACCACGGTGGTTTCCTCGGCCAGCGGAGCATCCCCTCACAGCATGGTGGGCATCACCATGGACGTTGGTGGCAGCCAGATCATCTCCAGCGGCAGCGCCTATCTCATTCACGGCGGGATGGAGGGCGGCCGGCACCTCACTTCACACTCCGCCCGATCCTCCTCTGCAGCGGTACGACCCCCTCTGCTCAGTATAGAGCTGCTCTCGTGAAAGTTTCCGAAAACCTTTAAACTCATTAAAGGTTCCTAAATGGTTCTTGGTTCGAGGTACAGTTGTAGGATAAACTTTAAATTGGTTTAGAACCTTAATATGTGGAGATACTTGAAACTTTGAATAGGCTCTTCACACTTTGTTCACTCTAAAATGCTCCCTCTGAAAAATGAAGGTTAATGGAAGGGTTTGCAGAACGACTGGACCAGGATTTCTGTAGCGCTGCTTTGCGACATGCCAGTTGTAGAAAGCGCTAAACAAATTTACATTGAATTGGAATGAAAGGTTCTTCTGTGGTTATTTGCTTGTTGTATGGTTGTTATTATTTAGAGGTTCTTTAACAGTGAGTGCGTTTACATGCACTCAATAATCTGATCATAGTCACATTTCTGCAGTTATCTGATTATTCAAATGGTCATATAAACAGCACACTCTGGTTTCTTAGATCGGAGTAAGGTCTAGAAATCCAGATCTGGATTTTAGCTCAGTAATCAGATTTCTCAGTGCATGTGAACTCTTACTCTGATTTCTTTCGGATTTCTCAGTCTGCACTTGTGTAAAAACAGACCGCAAAACACTTTTGGAATGATGCTGAAATGAAGAATTTAAATATTCTTCACTTTTTAGATGATGTATGTTCATATTTTTAGGTGTAGTGGCGCGGTGTTTAAAAAACGTGCTATTTTTTTTTTTAGTTTTACGTTATGTTTACGTCACGTCTTCTTCTGTGAGTTTATTGGCCGGTTTCAAAGCAGAAATCTGATTACTGCCCGACGCATGTAGACCCGGAGTTCCCCCGTTATCTGATTACACAGGTACACGTAAACGCGTTGATCTGACAAAATCTGATTTTCTGTAGTCATGGAATTATTAAGTGCATGTAAACGCACTCAATGACCCTTTAAAGAATTCAGAGTTTTTTTTATTGAACCAAAAGTGGGTCACTGCAAAGCACCTCTCTTTTTAAAATTGAATCCTGTTGTATCCTCTTGGTAGTTAGGGGAAAGACAGTCACTTTCACCTAACTACAACAAAGTAATGCCTATTTCATGTCGTGTTTTATAACTCGTACAGAAGCTTGTTATAACATCTTTATGATGTTGTTATTGTGGTTGTATAATGGTTCCTTGAGGCATCTCAGGGCAGCAGATGTTTTGAATATAAGAATATAAGGTTGTATGAGAGCTTCCAGCACACGCTGAGCTGAAAGGATTTCGGTGGAATTCTAATCCAGTGATGTGCTGATGAAATAAACCAGATGTGCAGTCACTCAGTGTTCAGCAGTGGCTGAAGTTCCAGCATGCGTCAGCATCAGTGTCTCTGTAATAACGGCCAAGGAGAGTGTGGGTCCCTGTGGGTCCATGAGGTGGAAAAGAGAGAGAGAGAGAGCGAGAGAGAGGGGAAGCGAGGGGCTGAGAGAGGCTGAGTGAGATATAGACACAGAGAGAGATTGAGAAAGATAGAGGTCGAGTTGGAGCTGGATTAGTTTAACTGTGAAGGTTCAGTAATTTAAGTGATTACAGATGATCATCTGTGATTTTGGTCCTGTATGAATCTGTGGTGCCTGTATTAGTTCAGGGGTGTCAAAGTCAACCACTAAAAGGGCCATATTAAAACATCTTAACAAATCTGGCCATAGATTGTTTAAAATAAGCGAAAACTACAATGGCAAAAAATAGGTACTGAATACTTGATCGACTGAAAAATAATTTTAAATAAAACCAAATTGTTTTATATAAAATAATAGGCTACATTAGCTGCGGGTCACTGGTAAACCTCTTTAAATGTCCCCAGTGTACAGTAGGTTTTTTAAAACTGCCCATTCGCTTGAACTGGACTCATGGCATCCTTTTTTGTTTGTTCGTTTTTGTGGTTAAGTCCCATAGATCATTGTTGGGGAGGGGGTGGGAGCACATTACGGTGCAGTGCATGCTGGGCACTGTAGTGCAGTTAATGATGAAATGGACTAGTATTAATAGAAAATTAAAATAACTACAGTACGCATGTGTCAAACACAGGCCTGCCTTGTACTAGTTCCATGGGATTCTTATGGATCTTGGAGCAGTGTGATGTGATAACAAAAGTCAGAGACCACCCTTCACGTAATTTCCAACCGAACAGTGATTCAGTAAATGTTATTCATTTTTCAGCGACAGGAATAAAAGCAGAAAATATATTTAACAATAATTTATGCAAAATACTCAACAACTACATAGAATATTATGTTTTTCAGTATTTATTGTGTCCTTTATTCCAGCTTCCGTTCTTTTCAGGAGCCTCACTTTCAGTTTCTCAAAGAATCTGCAGACACACCTCCAAAGTTCAGTCTTAGAAGTTGGTTGATCATTTTCTGAAGTAATCAAACACATTCAGTGGTGTTGAGGTCTGGACTCTAGGGGTGGTCAGTCCATTGTTCAGCTTCTTTGTTTGATGTGTCCATCTCCTTAGTGAGGTTCTTCTTGAGAGCTACACATCCTTTCAGACCCACAGCGCTGAGTCGTCTTCTCACAGTGGAAGGATGGACAGAAACACCTGTGGATGTTTTCAGATCTGAAGCAGCTTGATTTTCTCCTCTCTCTCAGAGATGAAAGCTTTCAGTGCTGTTTATCTGATGGGGGCAGTTTTGGTGTCTATCAGGTCTTCCAGGTGGTTGTTAGCTTTTAATCATTTCTTAAACTCCATGTATGCTAGTGGATTATCTTGTATATCATGTCCTCAGAAATATCTCGTGAAAATGAGTAACGAAGGGCCTTTTTGAGTTAAATTTAAATAAATCAAGGTGACGGGTGGTCTTTGCACAAAATGCTGTAGTAAAACCAGTCCAGCTGCATGATGGAGTGGACGTAAGAGAGAGACTATGACCGGTTAGGAAGAAGGCTGCCGCTGCTGCTGCTGCTCCTCAGTAATTCAGCTGGGCCTTGTTGTAGCGCTTCTTACAGGCACTCGAGCGCCCTGCGAGAGAAAGCTGCCCCAGAGCTCATTACCGTTTGGCCCAGAGCCCTTGGGAGCCTTTAAGAGATCTGGAAGGAGGCCTGCTTTTTTTCACCGATTCCTTGCCTCACTCCCTCTCTCTCTCCCTTTCGTTCTTTTTTGAGTATTGCCACTATTCCGCATGTCTCTGTGTGGCACCCTCTCTCTCTCTCTCTGAGCCCCTTTTCTCTCTGCTCTTGAAAGAGAAGCTCCTGTGTCAGGGACTGGCTGTGCCCACTTAGTTTACCACAGTGAGGGACGGCCTCACTTATTCTTAGAAATCCTCTGCCTCTGTACACAGCATGAGGATGTAAGTGGTGTTGCTTTAGATAAATTCAAGGTATTTTCAGAAAATGGAAATGAGGGGAAATGAGGGGTGATCCCATTGTTCATCCAAGGCCAACATTCAAGTTGGAGCAGTGCCCCCTGAGTGTGTAGGGGGGAGCATGTTTTTAGCATGTATATGTAGCTACACAGCTTTAAGTAGAACGTGCTTTTGGTCGCCTTCTCGTATTCCCATTGCAATCAAAATAAGCTGACAGCAATCGGACAGAGAGGACTAAAGATTCACCCCGAAAACTGTTTTTACCATAATAATATATTTTTTCCTGTAAATGTTTTTTCACTTTTCAAGGCTGCTTTTGTCAGTACAGATGCCGTTTCACATCAGCAAGTGTACATGTTGGAACAAGCCTTATAAATATCTGTATAGGTTTATGTCAGCTGTCATGAATAGTTTATGTATGTGTTTTGTAGCTTTATGTATGCTGCCCTTGGGTATTTCACCTCTTTCTCTTTAAGTAATATAGAAATTCACATCTATATTACTTAAATTGCCCGACCCACAGTGAGTATATAACCAACTCGCAGCGAGAGCTGGCCAGGCTAAAGTACAGCCTCCATATGGCAGGGTTAGTTATAACACTGTTACAACTAAGACCCCCAAAGTAAACAATGAGAGTAGACCATAACCTGCCTAACAAATTCAAAACAGCGTGTGTGTACAGGATTGGGCATAACCTAACACGGGGTAAAATGTGACCTGTATTTTTATGTAGTAATACAGGTTGAATGGAACTTGCTTTTGGTCATCTTCTCTTATTCCCATAGCAACGCCATCTACAAATTCTAACAGATATTTCTCAGTTCACCCTAAAGGCAGTTTTTGTTCCACTAAAGTAATTTTTTTCATTGTTTTTTGATTATTGAATAGCTTCATACTTTCCTGAAGGGCAGCATTCGTAAAGCTACATGACACCCCCGTAAGTCTTTTGTGACAAATGACACAAACCTACATAAACATTAATAACACCCAATTCCAACAAGCGTCAGTTGTCATAAAGGTTGCTTTTGTCAATGTAGATGTAGATTTCACCTCAGCAAGTGCTATGACAACTAACACTTATTACAATAAGCGTAATAATTTAAGAATGTGTGTATAGGTTTATGTCAGTTGTCATGAGAAGCTTATGTAGCCTTATGAATGCTGCCTTTCAGTAAGGTGATTCCCCAAATTGTATAATAAAATCACAGAATTTAGGCTATTATTTCAATCACCCAACTTACAGTGAGTATACAACCAACTCTCAGCGAGAGCTGGCCAGGCTAAAGTACAGCCTCCACACGAGGGGGTTAGTTTTAAGTGTTACAACCAAGTAAACAAAGAGAGTAAACATTGGGCCTCATTCGCCAATATCTTCCTACGTTTTTTCTTAAATTTGTTTTTGAGAAAGGTCCTAAGAAAAAGTCTACGTCAGATTAACGACGTGTTCTTAAACTGCTGAATTGTTTGCACATTTGTGCTCTTAAGTACCTAAGAACTAATCCCAAATAAGAAAACATCGGTGAACATCACAGTCTTCGTGAAAACTGCGTAAGTGGGTTTTAAGAAGAAATTTCTTCTTAAGAATGTTTGGTAAATGAGCCCCAAAGAGAGTAGTCTGTGTCCTCCCGTACAAATTTGCACATATTCATGAAAAATTCATGTAAACAATGTTTCACATTCTTATTAATTTTATTGCTAATATTTGTATGTGTTTAGCTTGGAAAGTGTGGTTCTAATAATACAGAATGTTATGTAGTTAATTGTGCATAAAACTGTTATAACTCACCCCTCAGTCTGTTACAATGAGCCTTTGTTATGGGGTAAGTTGTAACATTTGCATGGCACTTTTGACTGATTTGCTTATAAACATTCGGTGCGAGGAACAATGAATATGCCACAGAGGGATTAGCGTTAGCCCTAGCATGCATCATAACGTAGAACACAGAGGTGTTAGCGTTAGCATTAGCATGCCTTATATCATAGTCTGAGGAGACCCAAGCTTGCAGCTTAACCCTCCCCCATTATTTGCATGTGTTTTGTTCACTGTTAAAGAGCTGCAAACACTGACTGACTGTGATGGAAATGCACTGATCCAACAGTCTGATTGCCTTTTCTGTTCTTTTTTTTTTTTTTTTCCCTCTTCCCTCTTTTTTCACCTCTTCTCACCCCCCTCCCCCTTTTGATGTCCTGCATGCCACCCCTCTCTCTGTAGCTTGAACTGGCGATTGAAAACCTCCACAAGTCTGAAGGGATTGCCTCTCACAAGAGCAGCCTGCTCAACAGACATGTAAGTCATCCAAGAAACTTTACTTAAACACAGAGAGAACAAAAGGAAGGCCTGCTGCTTCTGTAACTCTCTGCTAAGCCCCTCCCTGCTGCCCCGTGCTTGACGACTGTCTTACAGTTCCTCCCTCCTGTTGCTCACTATTAGCTGCACCTTTTCGGCTCTGTAGGAATGGCTTTGATGGAGTAACTGCTTAGATAGCTATGGCTTATCTTTGTTCAGCATGCAAGCTCTTAACTAGTGGGCATCCAAGGGTCCTGAAGATTGATTCTGTTGGCTGATTAAAGAGAGTTTCAGATCTAGTTACATCTGGCCACGTCTAATTCTGGGTGAAACAGGAGGACACTTTCGAAAAAGGGCCAATCCACATCAACTCACTTAGAGCATGTATGGTCACGTCATGGATTTCCATTAAAAAAATCAGGCACCTATTGGGTCATTCCATGCCAACTCAGCTAGAGCCAGTCCAGTCACATCATGAAAAAATTCAAGCAAAAACTTCAATTTTGTTCCTGCAACCATGCAAATTCTCATAGTTGTTCTCCAGTTAGTTTCCTAGTTATGAATTTGTATGGTGGCTCCTGCAGATTCTAAATCACATCTTTTAATAGGCAGTTTAGAACCTAATAGGACAGGGGTCGGCAGCATGTGGCTCCGGAGCTGGCCCTTTTACTGCCCTGTTGCGGCTCCACAGCAGAATCAGATTTGTAGGTAAAAATAAAATAATCCTCCTTTACAGTAAAATAAAGCTCTGCTGATCGTTCAACACAGTTTAACAGTAAATGGTCTTAAACACTGGAGTTAATGTAGAACTGCTAATTCACCCTTTAACCCTGAAGGTTGGAGCTCAGACTGCTGGTCAGCATAGCAACACAGACAACCGTCTCGCCTAGCTAGTAGCTAACGAAACGGCAAAAAGGGACATTTAAGACGAACATCTGGAGACGAATGGACTTATTTGTGTTTATAATCACTCCAGCTGGTTTCCTGATACGTTTAATCTGCAATGAGAAACTGTCAAACGCTAAAAAGCCGTGAAGGTGAAGTCAGATTCTCATTTGCCAGGTTCTCATTCCACTTTAAGTGGTGCAGCAGTTACATTCTGGCGCCTCAGGCACCATTTAAGGTGGAATGGGGAAAATGCGAGCAAAAAGCTGTGAATAAGACACTGACTTCAGCCTTGCAAAAAAACAAATGTTGAGAGACGTTTTACAAAAAACTGTTCTACTTTTGAGGAAAAGTTTCCTGCTGGAGATGTTAGAAAAGCAGCTATAGCTGAGCTAAAGCTTAAAGCAGAGCAAAGTAAGTCTGCGTTTTCTTTTATATTTTTTAGCCTAAACTAATACAATAGCACACACTGAGACATATTTACAGGCAATATAGTAAAACCTTACTTCAATAAAATGGATATAAAATGTTGAGGCTCCCAAGATGGTTTGATTTTTGTTGAAAGGACAATATGGCTCTTCTGACCATTTGGGATGCCGACCCCTGTAAATAGCACAAACTTTAAGAGTTCATAACTGAAACCCCGAAACAATTAAATTTAAGTTTTTGCTCAATTTTTTCATGTTATGACTGGACAGGCTCTAGTTGAGTTGGCATGGACTGACCAATAGGCAAAAATGCATCAGTGCATCTTGACGTATCTATCAGAAGGAGGCAACAACATCAATTTTGCAGTGTCAAAATCGATTACAAATTATATCAATATTTTTGAAAATGACATGCATCAGTTTTTTGAGGCATTAACTCATTGCCTAAAGAATCATCACTGAAATGAATCACTGTGAGGTCAGAGATTTACATTTCTGATATACACAGCAACATGTTAAAACATCACGATACCTCAAGACAGCGTCACAATACACAGTATGCATCACATCATGTTTATTTTTCTGAGAACTGATCCGTTGGAACAGACCAAAAAAGCCCCAGTTCAGTGTTTCCCACACAGCGCTGCACTAAATCCAGTTAAACAGGGCTAATTATGCTCTCTTTGTAAGGAAACATGCAGTCGGTCAGGGTTCTCTAACCCTTTAAGTGTCTGTTTGTGCTGTTTGGCTCTTCATTGTAAATCGTGATTATTCAGTGCATTGTTGTTGCATTGACTTTGATATATAGGGAAGCCGAAAATTCAAAGATTTTTATTCTGTTTTTGTTACAAACTACCACTTTGAAAACACATGAATACGGACATAAGTCACACATCACTAGTGCTTTATTGTTAAACACAACAATAATAAGCTCTTACTGATCCAAACTGCACTCTAAGCTTGTGCAGTCACTCAGAAAAGAGCACATCCAGCAATGAAAGAAGTCTCATGCGTATTTTATGCAGTAATAGACAACACAGTCACAGTATGTGACATAATTTATAGAAATAACTCTAAGTATCTTTATATTGGCCGTCCCCACACACACGCTCTGTTACCATCACTCATTTTCACACATGATCATATGGTCATATGCAAAAGTCTGAACACCTTTGGTCAAATGATGTTTTTTAGGTCAAAACAACTTAAATATGGCATTTTTTTTCCTGCAAATTTTAGTGCACGATTTCTAACATATCGGAAAAACATGAAACATTCATTATACTAATGATTGTGCATTGAAATGTGCAGAGGTTGTGTTAACTTATTTTCATTTAGAACATAAACAAAACGTCAAGTAACCAAGTGTGCCTAAACTTTTGAATATGTTTGCTTGCTGTTCAGTCTCAGCTCAGAAATGCTCCTGTTTCCTGCGTTTAGCACACCTGATTCACCTCATGAAGGGCTTGATGGTTATCTGATGATATGTGGATGAGTGCTAACACTAAACTGCGCTCTTCGGGGTGGTCCCGGACAGGGATTTGGAAACATTTGCTCTAGATCTCTATCCGAAAGGGCAGACTGGAAGCTGGCAGTAAAGCATGATTTGCCCCTGGTTCCAAGCCTCTGATGTTGGGCTATCTGAGCTGTTCTTTGTCAGAAGCTGAAGTGTCTTTTATTGTCTCCATGTATTCAGATTGGAAAATCTGCCCACCTGTTTACAAACGTTTACAAACATGATTAAATACCCCTTACTTAATGGGCCAGCGACAGATCCTCACAGGTGTGTGTGTGTGTGTGTGTGTGTGTGTGTGAGAGAGAGAGAGAGAGAGAGAGAGAGAGAGAGTAGGGTATAATGCGTGTCACCTTTTCAAACCGCCATTGAACCATTATGCTGTCAAGCTCCTTAGCCGTCCTGTGTGTTTCTAAAACAGGCAGTAAAAGCTCCCCTCCAGTGTTTTCCATGACTAAACCATCTGCTGAAGTTTAGGAAACTTTCAGAGGTTGGACGATTTGACAAAATCTCATCACTATCACAATAAATTACATCACAATATGTTTTCCTGAGCACATCACAGATATCGTCAGTACTCCTGAAACACTAGCGGCATGCTTCGTAGAAAGTAGAGATTTAGACCAGTTGTAGAGAATCTGTAAACAAACGGCAGATCGTAAAACCTTAATAAAGTAATAAATAAAGACATGGAATATGATTCCTTTTACATGTTAAGGTTCAACTGACAAAAATACATGTTTAGCGTTATTTTATATATGGCTGCAGTTCTGTGGAACTTCAAATTTATTTTAAACAGATACAAGCAGAGAGTTATTTTATATATGCTTTTAAAAAAGTGGATGATGAATAATTTGTGCATAATTTTAAGCAGTTTTTATTTATTGGTTTGGCTGAATAAAAAAATTTGCCTATGGCTTTATTGTGTCTATCTGTGTATCTATGTAGCTCTCTATACAGCTAGCTATACATCTATACATCTAATCTGTCTATCTGTCTGTCTATCTCTCTATCTATCTATACAGCTATCGAGCTATCTGTACAGCTATCTATCTTTACAGCTATCTATCTGTCTATCTGTCTATCTATCTATCTATCACATTCAAATTTAAACTGTAGAGCAACTACCTTATTATGTCATTTTTTTAATGAAGTGTTTGATGTTTTATTCTTATTACACTAAAAATTTAAATATGCGTGTTTCTGCAACTGCGACTTTAAAGTCTTTTTCACTGTTTTTAGTATAAATGGATATCAAACTGAGCAGTTATATTAGCTCTGGCAGACGGTTGTTTTAGAAGTGTGCTTCCAAATACTTCTATAAGTGATGAGCTGTACAGCAAACAGATGCAGAATATGAATACTGAATATGAACAGATGGTATTTACGTTGCTTTTGGTTTTCCCCACACTTTCGTCCTTGTTCTCTTTAGATTACTTATGTTTTCATCGAAAGTAGGTTTGTTTGGCTTTGGAAAAAACTTGAGTCATAGCTCAAACTTAAGCGTTGCAGACATATAAACATAGAATCAACATATAGAAAAAAATACATAAATGCCTGATTAGCAGCAGCATGTATTTAAACGTATTTTGAGGAAACGCTTATATAATGCAGTTTTAATGTGTTTCTAATTCAGTATCTTATTTTTATGCATTTGAAGATTGAAATCACAGGTGCAGGACAGAATTTTGGCTTCATAACGACATTAGCTCTGTACATTTAGCAACTATTTTGTATGTGAAAAATGTGACACTAATAAAATATTTTGGTAACATCAGGCTGCTTTAGTCAAATTGAATGTCTTTTCGCTCTAGAAAGTTTTTGACGCTTTTTGAAATAAGCCTTTTATAAATTCTTATAAAAGTTTATGTCAGTGGTCATGAAATTCCAGTAAAGTGTTTGTAGCTGCACCTATTATTTATTATTTCATTTATTTTGGCACTGCTGTTTTACTGGGGCATTGTGTCTGTTCCAACTTATCAAACCTAGAAAAACTCAAAAAACTATGTTGTAATATGTATTTCATACGTCTATAAGTATCACAGTACTACATTTTTACCATATCGGCGCTGTGAAAGACGTGCCTCGGCTCTAGACTCTTCTTTTATGTTTTACTGAGTTGTTTATGCACGCTGGTCATCAGTTAGCAGCCCTGAAAGAAAAGGTGTCAATTTCTGCTGATTATGAAACATCTGACGTAGCGTGTCTGTGTGCTTGTGTCTGTATGTGTGTGTAAATGTGTGTGTGTTTATAGTTACAGTGGCTGCTGGATAACTACGAGATAGCAGACGGTGTGAGTTTGGCGCGGTGTTCCCTCTATCACCACTACCTGCGCCACTGCCAAGAGCAGAAGCTGGACCCAGTCAACGCCGCCTCCTTCGGGAAGCTCATCCGCTCAGTCTTTATGGGACTGCGCACACGCCGCCTTGGCACCAGGTCAGTCCCACGTACACACACACACACACACAAACGTATTTCTATTTCCAAGACATCTAACACCACTATGTTCATTATACAGTACTATGAGACCCCCTTTCACTTAATTAAGTTCCAGTTGAAACGGCCATTAAGTACAATTTAATACACAGAAGCCTCAACAGCTCCATACAGTATCACATTTCTCATTATTTAATATTTCAACTCTTTCTCTAATTGCAGCTTACATTCTATTTAGGAGGCTTGGTTTCAGTTTCTGATAGAAATCTTCAGGGATAGTTTTCCACACCTCCAAAGTTTGGTGCATTTTCTACTTTTCACCATCCAAGACACATTCAGTGATGCTGGTGTGTGGACTCTGGGGTGGTCAGTCTGTTGTTTTGAGAACACCAGTAGCTTCTTGGTTTGATTTGCGGAAGTTATTCCTTTTTGGTCTGTTTCCTTATAAGAAGCCTAAAGTATTTAATATGTCCACTCTTTACTTTTATTCCAGCTTCTGTTTTTTTTCTGAGACTTGCTACTATTTTCTTTACAGAAATCTGAAATGATATTTTTCCTAAGATTAGTCTGCATTCTGCTTCTCACAATTCATGTGTGTGTATATATGTGTGTGTATGTATGTGTGTGTGTATATATATATATATATATATATATACCCAGAGAATGCCACAAAAACATTCCCCAGACTATAAGCTACGCACCGCTGCGGTCAGAAGAAGGAAGTGGTCATAATAATGTGACTGTGTGTGTGTGTGTGTGTGTGTGTGTGTGTGTGTATATATATATATATATATACACTGCTTCTTTCCTAATTTGCAGAAGATATATATAATCAGAACAAAACCTTATATCTCCAAATTGGTAACTTTACAGGAGAAGGAAAAAACCTTCTTTATTTTCAGTGTAAGTCAGTGGAACCAGACCTTTTTCCAAGCCATTTATCATGAAATATACCCAGTGTAAAGGGCAACAGGCATTTTCAGATTATGGCAAATAATGAAAAACAACAAAAATGGAGAGGTTTTGTCCTGACAACAGTGATTTATGTATAACATATATGTACACTGCAAAAGGAATAACTTGTACTTAATGGCTGTTTTGACTGGACATTAAATAAATGAAAAGTTTCTGTATTTTGCAAAGTGCTGTATACGTTGTGAATAGACACACAAGTAAGGCTGTTAAAGTTGTACTCATTGTTTGTGCATGTGTGTATCAGAGGGAACTCAAAGTACCATTACTATGGCATCCGCGTGAAGCCTGACTCTCCTCTGAGCCGACTGCAGGACGACAGTCAGTACATGGCCATGAGACAGCAGCCTGTCCACCAGAAACAGAGGTGAGTGCTTGTTTGTGTGTCTCTTTCTAACCACCGTTCGCTCCCTGCCAAGCTTTGATCCCTTTGATGTTCATTAATTGTATTTGTGCCTAAATGAGCCATAGACTGGCAGAAATGATGCAGAAGTACCATCATAGTGTCTTCTGTCTCTGTGATAAATGCCATAAACGAGCCCCCCTCCCCCCCAGTCTGGCCTGTCTCTGTATCCCGTCCCGATGGTCCCCTGGTTAGTGGCCCTATAGAGTGAGTAGTGAGCCCCTGCCCTAGCATTGTGTTCTGCTATCCCCTCTGGTCAGGTTTAAACCCCTGCAGAAAGTGAGCATGATGGGTGACGGAATCTCCGGCGGCTCTCAGCACTCCAGTGGCACGCCAGAGCAAAGTGTGGCCGCGCAGAGCCAGCACCACCAGCAGTTCATAGGTAATAAATACTATAGCACTTACTACCACAAGCCGGACATAGGTTATAAATACTGTAGAACCTAATACCACCAGAAATATATCTGTAATAAATACTCCAGAACACCATTCCACCAGTCATTCATATGTGATAAACACTACAGCATACAATACCATCAGTAATACATAGATAATAAGCACTACGGCATGCAATGCCATCAGTAATACATGGGTAATAACACTACTGCATGCCATACCACCAGTAATACATCTGTAATAAACACTCCAGAACGCCATTCCACCAGTCAGACAAATGTAATAAACACTACAGCATACCATACCATCAGTAATACATAGATAATAAGCACTACGGCATGCAATACCAGTCATACATGTGCAATAAACATTACAACACTTGATTCTACCAGAACTTCATAGGTAATAAACACTGTAGAACCCAATACCACTAGTAATACATAAATAATGAACATTACAGCACTCAATACCGCCAGTAATATATAGGTAATAAACAATAAAGTATGGCATGCTACCTTCACAACATGAAGTCCTAAGTTTTAAGATGGAAAATTTAATGTAGTAACTCAGATCATGTGAACAGCCTATAGATAAATTGGACCCTCCATGTGTTGTGACATCACAACCACAATTAACTGGCTGTCTGGAACACTATATTCAGGGGTCAGGCCTCAGAAAAAGTGGATACTCTGATTTCTTGGCAAAAAACAGGCCTGAACCTTATAGACAGTAATTTCGATTTACTTTGCAAAAAAAAAAACTAAATTAGACATTTTCCCCAAATCATATTTCCCTAGATCCTGCTATAATTAGTCACTCACAGTCTAACAATATGTTGAGCCTCTAGTGGTACATGTATGTATGTATGTATATATGTTTGTTTATTTGCAGACATGTCTCATGTCCTGCCCCCGTTTCCCTCTCTGGACCTGGGCTCCTGCCCACTGCCTGAGCGCATCACCATGAATGATGTGAAAAAGCTACAGAGCATCTACAGGGACCACTGTGAGGTACTGTTCTCTCCTTCTCAATCTATTCTGCACTCTCGTTCTCTTGTTCACACCTAATGTCATGGCTGTCTCCACCCAGACCTGCCTGAGGCTGCTCAGAATGCTGTACAGGACATGTTTTAACTTAATGCTTAAAGAGGAATTCCACTGATTTCTCAAACGTTCTGCGTAATACCATTCTAGTAAAAGGCTACAAAATACTCTGTTACACAACAGTGAATAAAAACCTATAAATAACATTTTTTTTAATGAACGGATTATACACGTACTATGGGAACAATGTAAAGTTCTTACATATTTTAAAGGCCTTTTTTCTTATTTTATTCTTCTCTTTTTTGTGTAGCTTTATGAACACGTCCATTTAAAACCACTCTTTATCCATTAGTATCAAACAGGCTGTTTTTTTTCTGTGCCTTCAAGGCTGATATATATGTTGAATACCTCTGTTCTGATTGGTTGTTTTGTGTTGTGCCTCTTTCTAAAAGCAGTCCAGCAGAAAGGACCAGGCTAGACAGCTGTAGGATGGATAGGTGGATATTTAAAATGTGCAAATTGGGTTTTTGTGACATCACAAAAACAGCAAATTCAGTTTAAGTCGATTTTTCAGCTTAGTTTCCATATATGGACAGGCGAGCATCTTGAAAACCACTTTCAAACATTTACAAACTATGAATCAGTCTCAAAAAAGTAAAGAAAGGTGTTTTTTTCACAATATAGGCCCTTTTAAAATGTGCAGTGAAGATGGGCGTTTTAAAAATGACTGATGGCTTCATGTCTCTCATGGGAAAACTGTGGGAAACACATTCATACAAATCTAAAATGTTCCTGTATGCTTGGTTGCACATAGTCATTCATACATCGATACACCAGTAATTTTCAACATTTTTATTATATAGTAAAACATGATTATAGCAATTATATATTACATTATGATGTAGCAAGCATTAAGGCTGGGAAATAGATGTGACAGTGATGTAAACAAACGATATTCGGGACATAAAGTTTTCACCTTGGGCCAGTTTTTGAAAAAAAATGGAAAAAAAAGTCAGTCTAGAATTATATTAGAACACGTAGACGGGCTGACCAGCCTGCGAGCGCAGTGCCCGGTCGCCTCAGTCGCACACCTGCCGAATGCGCAGCGGCCAGAGTTTGGCCGGGCCGCGTATTTGGCCGTGTTTGGTGCAGTTTCTCCGAGAGGGCCAGTTTGATGGTCTCGGGCCGTCCCTCCCCTCGCTCTCTCTGTTCAGCTCACACCTTTTGTTCCAAAGCTCCTTTCATCCCTCTCTCAGTGCCTTTCCAGTCATGCCAATTAACCTTTCAGCCAGCGAGAGAGACACACATGCACCGCCGCTCAGGCCACTCGTCTCCTGCCTTTGTCTGTCACCACTTTTTCTCTTGTCAATCAAAGAAAGAGCCTTCTTCTTTCCTTTTCTTTTTTTTTTTTCGCATGTCTCTTTTTCTAGACTTACGACAGGCATAGAGACGGATACCTTGTCTGTCACATTGTTCGGAAACTTTCGATTTCTTTGTCATCTCGGAGGTTTTAAAGGCCTGCTTTCACTCCTGTCTGTCCTGTTTGTGGAAAGACATACGTAAATAGAAAAAAGGAGTGAAACTAAAACTACTCTTCATACTCTTCACTCTGTTTTCTCACAAATCTTGTCATTTTACAACCATTCCCTGTTTTTTCCTGAGCTGAAAAGATGAAGGTAGGAAAAAAAAACACTTGTTTGTCAAGCAGGGGAATTTTCCCTTTTTTTTTTTTTTGTTTTTGGAGTGCAGTGTTTGAACTGTTGCTGCGGCAACGGTAAACATGGTTGCCATGGCAACCTGGTAAGGAAGCCAAAACATGTCGCGTGATTGGTGGAGGGTGGGTGGGGGGGGGGTGCACTATAGGGCTGTGTAACTGGATATAGGAGCAAGTGTCCAACCGCAGGAGAATCTCTGACGCGAGTGTGAACCATAGCAAATAGAGAACTCACTGTTGGAGAAGACGTTCGCCAGGAATCCCCCACATTCAGTTATTCATCTTAAGACGCTCAGTGATTACTATGAAAGTGATGTGTAACTTGCGTAGCTCTTAAAATGAGTAACTGACCCATATACAAGTTCTAAGGGTTTAAAGGGGAATCCCACCGATTTTTAACATTTTCTGTGTACGTAGAGATGTAAACAAAGTCGTTCAGATTGGTTTGATGTGAAATGGTTTGGGTTTCTTTACAGCTTTACTGTGGTGGTGATAGGAACCAGGGGTCATCATGTCTGCAGTGCAAATATAGGCGTTACTGTACAAAACCATACAACCTATACAAAACCAAGCGTGTATCTCTCTGTAGATTAAAAACACGTTTCAGGCCAAAACTATAAATGATGCCCTGTGTATGACTAGACACTTTGTATGGTGTCTCTCAGATTCTCTTTCTACAATTTGAAGATAATTTTTATCCACACTAAGCTTGGTTGCACAGCTATGACTCATATTAAGGTCTTAAAATTATTCCTTTACATACATACAACCTTCTTTGTGGCTTTGTTTGTTGATCCTTATTGTTTGGTTGCTGTGTGGGGTTCGCTAGTGGTCAGCACTGCTGTTGTAGGCCATCACAAGGACAGCTATGTTGTGATTATTGAGGAAATAGAGATGGGAAATAGCTCAGCAGAGGTGGAAACAAAACTTGCTTACTCAGTCAGTCATGTGTACGTACACGCTCACTCATACATGCTGCAACAACTCACTGCTGAAGCCAGTGAAACTGATTTCAAAGCAAGATATGGCTTTAATGTAGAGCAGCTGTTTGAGCTCCACAGTTACTGAATGTGTGATGCTAGTGTGGATAAATTGTATTTACCTTGCACACTTTGAGTAAAGCAGTTCAAAGAGACACTTACAATAATTTAATTACATATTTGTAATTAGTAATCAGTGAAAAAGTCAGCTTTCAGTGTTAGTAACTCTGCTCTCTCTCTCTCAGGCTACTCTGGATGTGGTGATGAATCTGCAGTTCCACCTCATAGAGAAGCTGTGGCAGACTTTCTGGTATTCAACAGCGCCATCTAGTGACGGCACCACCTCCATCGTCCCCAACAGGTCAGACGCTGCCACAGTATGCTGGCAATGTGGCACTACAAAAACATTGAATTCAGTTGTTTAAGCGTATAGTTTGTTTTATAGGCATATTAGATTTGTGTTTATTGTACATGTGCCGAAACCACCCCCCCCAAAAAAAAAAGTTATTCTATTATTTTATTATTATATTATTATATTATTTTATTATTTACGTCTAGATTTTATCTGCAGCACTGTTTACAGTGTGGTAACTGATGGATGTATTTAACACAGGTCTTATACAAATTATAAACTATAGTGTCTTATGCACAGTATAGAATCCTATATTGTCCAGACTACGGTACTGTGTGCCAGTTGTTTCACTGATCATTTGGCTGTTCACAAACTAGTAGTCGAATCCCTTCCTTAGGCAGGTAGTTTTGTCCTATGTATACCAATATGCCACGAAATAAGTGCAGATAAAGCAACGTACAAGCAGCGTAAACCACAGTAACCTTAGTCCATTTAGCTGAAAGGCTGAGCCAGGGACATTGTAGTCACAAAAGAAAGGAGCTTTTTAGTGCCTTGGTCACCTCCCGCTGTCTAGTATGTATTCATCTGAAGTAGTCCACTTTGGACTGGCTGGTCTTTTGGGGTTAGCCTTAGCCCAGCATGGACACCAGAGCACTGCCGTATTATCTCGTAACGCCCGAGGAGCCGCCTGACTCATTCAGCTGCGTCAGACAGCCCTGCAGTCTCGGGGGCTTTCTGGGAATAACTGCAATATTTTCTAGATTCCTGCAGTGTCTGATGATCAGAGGGGGTGAGCATGTGGGATGCACCTATGAGTCAAATGACTTGACAAAATTTGACGAAGCTGAAGTCGGTTTCTTATTCGAATATCCTGCTCCACCTTAAATGGTGTAGCAGTTACATTCAGGCTCATGTACAAGTACCTAAATGTAACTCCAGCTCCATTTAAGGTGGAATGGAAAAGTCCAACAGAAAAGCTGATGAATAATATATATAATATAATAATAATATAATATGTATAAATAGATTATATTATATTATAATATTATTATAATATATATAATATAATAATATATAAGATATTCAGACATGAAACAACATTTAGCACCATTTCTGCTGAGCCTGCCGCGCTAGTGTTTCAAAGCAATGTTGATATAAGTGTCTGTATGTTTAGTTCGGTTTTACTATTTTGCACTGTAAAAATATTTTGAACTTTGGTTGTTCAAAATAATTTCTGTATGAAGTCACTGTTAGGTTTACTTAAGCATCTAAAGTCGTTTAAGGGCGTCCCTGGTCAAATTACATGTGGATGTCCTAAGTGAAAAAATAAGCTAAAACACAATTCTGCACATTTTAATGCACAATTACTGTTTATTTACTCAATTGAACATATCAGGGAAAATAATTCAGCATAAAACATTTAACTTAATATGTTAAACTTGGCCAATAAATAGAAATTGTTGTATAATATGCAGAAAACACCATATTTAAGTTTCTTCACTAGAGAGGACGTGTTAATCTTTGCATATATACTGTGATGTATAACACACCCATTAGAAATTATTAATTAAATATAAGTATACCATGATATCATGTTTTAGCCATACTGTCCACTGATAATATAAACTTACTTCAAGCCATGTTTTTACATGCTTGACTTTACCCTACAACCGGTCCAGTTTAGTATCTGAGCTGCAAATAAGCTGCTTCTTTTCTGTAACCGGTTATTTTTATGATTTAATGAACTGCAAATTAAAGAGCTGTGTTTTAAGGTTCTTTCTCTCTCTCTGATTCTCTGCAGTGATGAGGAAATCGAGGGGGTGATCCCCAGTGAGAAGCTGATTGCTCTGTGCAAGTTTGAGCCAGTGAAACAGTGGATGAGGAGCTGTGATCACATCCTGTACCAGGCGCTGGTGGAAATCCTCATCCCTGATGTTCTGCGGCCCGTTCCCAGTCAGTACTACACCGCAATACACTAGAAACTCCCTTATCTCTGTACTACATGCTAGTGCAACAGTTTAATCTCTGCTCAAAGCTCTCCTGTACTATCTGTACTCTGTATTCAATATGAAAATCTCTCATGTACTACTAGTAATTGTGTACTAACATGGCATAGACTGCAATATCCAATAGAATCAGCCAATATTTTCACAAATGTATTTTGTTTTGGTATTTTCATCAGTTCTTTTCACATTACTTTGTTAGAAAATGTTATACATCATGCTAAAGTTTAGGCTTTGCATGCTTTAATTCCTTTATGATTATTTTTTTCATGATTAATTTGTATTAGTATCAGTCTTTTATCAGTCAACACTGATAAATCTGTGTACCTTTAATATTGGATAGTTTTGTTTAATCTGCCAGACAATATGATGACTGGGTTGCTCACTGTACTGCATTATAATCTATATTCACAACTTTTGCATGTTAACTCTGAACTGTATGCTTTACAAATCTCCCCTTTAATCATTTTCATGTTTTCTCTTCTACAGGTACTCTCACCCAAGCCATCAGAAACTTCGCCAAGAGTCTGGAGGGCTGGCTAACCTCAGCCATGAGTAACTTCCCCCAGGAGATTGTGCGCACCAAGGTCATGCTTCTCTTCAAAAAGAGATACACCGGTCAGGCATAACATTATGACCAATCCTTGTTTCTACACTCATTGTCCATTTTATCAGCTCCACTTACTATATAGGTGCACTTTGTAGTTCTACAGTTACAGACTGTAGTCCATCTGTTTCTCTGCATACTTTGTTAGCCCCCTCTTACCCTGTTCTTCAGTGGTCAGGACCCCCATGGTACGAGTGGATCAGACACAGCAGTGCTGCTGGAGTTTTTAAACACTGTGTCCACTCACTGTCCACTCTATTAGACACTCCTACCTTGTCAGTCCACCCTGTAGATGTAAAGATGTAACAAAGTATGCAGAGAAACAGATGGACTACAGTCTGTAACTGTAGAACTACAAAGTGCACCTATATAGTAAGTGGAGCTGATAAAATGGACAATGAGTGTAGAAACAAGGAGGTGGTCAGAATGTTATGCCTGATCAGTGTATATAATGAATATTTAGTGTCCATCTGAATAAATAGTGGCAATAGCCTTGCTGCCCAGTACAGGCATAAGTAAATGAGTAGATGGGCAGGAATAACATTTAACATTAGCACCAACTGGCTAATAACACTTCACGACTAACAGCGTAGTGCTACATAGCTAAGCTTGAGTACACTGAAGCAGAGAGAGAGCTTAAGCAATAGCAGTGTTAGAGCTAAAATGCTAGTGTCAAATAATGTCCACTGAAAATGTGACCACTGACATAACAAACCATAAATAAAGTGATTGTTTTTGATAGATTCACACTTTTAATGTTAACTGGTTAAAGTAACTTTTATTAAGGACGTGAGCTTGTTATTGTATTACATTGTGTGGTTTCCTTATTGATTATTATGAGAGGCCTTAGTGCTGAGGGTTGATGACTTGATGAGGACTCAGTAAATATGGAGACATAGCTTTGTTCTGATACTTACTCTGTGTGTTATTGTGTGTTCAGGCTGCAGTAGTGAGTGCGTTCGCGCAGACTCTGCGCAGGTACACCTCCCTGAACCACCTGGCGCAGGCGGCTCGAGCTGTGCTGCAGAACACCTCCCAGATCAACCAGATGCTCAGTGACCTCAACCGCGTGGACTTCGCCAACGTGCAGGTTTGACTTCTTTTACACACCGTAGACTTTAGTCTAAGGCTAACGTGCAGGTCTGCATCTCACTACAAACTACAGGCCTCAGCTTGGTGCTAACATGCAGGCCTGTGTCTTAGAAAGCAGTACAGATCTTAGCATAGCGCTAGCATCCAGGTCTGTGTTCCAGTGTGCATTACAGGCCTTAGTGCTGATATGCAGGTCTGCCTTTCACTACCGGCCTTGGTCTAGCGCTAACATGAGGTCTGTGTCCCAATATGCACTATTGGCATATATTAGCCAAGCGCTAATATACCGATTTGCATCTCACTACAGGTCTTAGCATAGCGCTTACATTCAGGTCTGCGTCCCAGTACACAATACAGGCCTTAGCCTAGGGATGATATACAGATTAGTGTCTCACTACAGGTCTTAGCATAGCAGTTACATCCAGGTCTGTGTCCCAGTGTGCACTAGTGGCCTTTGTCAAACACTAATATACAGATTAGTATTTCACTACAGGTCTTAGCACAGTGCTAACATGTTGGTCAGTGTCCCAGTGTGCATTACTGGCCTTAGCCAAGCACTAATATACAGATTTGCATCTCACTACAGGTCTTAGCTTAGTGCTAACATCCAGGTCTGTGTCTCTGTATGCACTACAGGCCTTAGTGCTGATATGCAGGTCTGCCTTTCACAACCGGCCTTAGCCCAGCGCTAACATGAGGTCTGTGTCCCAATATGCACTACTGGCCTTGGCCAAGCACTAATTTACAGATGCGCATCTCAATACAGGCCTTAGCCCAGCGCTAACATGTAAGTCCCAGTGTGCATTACAGGCCTTTGCCTAGTGCTGATATACAGGAAAGTCTCTCAGTACTCACTACAGGTCTTAGCTTAATGCTACTGTCTTTTCATATTTAACACATTCAAGATCTAAATGTGGGCTGGAGGTTAGGGAACCAGCCTTGTGACCAGAAGGTCGCCGGTTCATTCCCCAGAGCCAACAGTACGTGACTGAAATGCCCTTGAGCAAGGCACCTAACCCCCAACTTCTCCCTGGGTGCCGTGGATAGGGCTGCCCACCGCTCCGGGCAAGTGTGCTCACTGCCCCCTAGTGTGTGTGTGTTCACTAGTGTGTATGTGGTGTTTCACTGCACGGATGGGAGGTCTAATTCCGATGTGTTCAGACACAGTTGGCTAAAAGTTCAGTTCATATTCATCTAAATAGTGGTATCAGTAAAAACAAAAAGTGGTCCAAACTGGTCAGTCACATCAATAAGACTTTTAAGTTTCAGGTTGGCAGTCCTAACTAGAGGGGATCAATAGGAGATCTGTTCTTTATTTAATCATTTTCTATTATATTTGATCATAATATTTTGTTTGCATGCCATTTTGTTCATTAATTCCATAAAGTGACGTTGAGAAAGGCACTATATCAATAAAATTAAATTATTTTTGATTATTTAGATTTTTAAATTTCTGTTTTGTCTTCACACTGACCGTCCTCCTGTGTGTGTGTGTGTGTGTGTTCTCCAGGAGCAGGCCTCGTGGGTGTGTCAGTGTGATGAGAGCGTAGTTCAGCGTCTGGAGCAGGACTTTAAAGTGACCCTGCAGCAGCAGAGCTCTCTGGATCAGTGGGCTGCCTGGCTGGACAATGTGGTGAGCCAGGTCCTGAAGCCACACGAGGGCAGCCCCAGCTTCCCCAGAGCCGCGCGCCAGTTTCTCCTCAAGTGGTCCTTCTACAGGTACGCCATCTTAACGCATGGTCAGCAGTCGGGCCGGAACGCTGGTCGTGAAAGTTTAACTCCACAAATAACTTTCTGTGTGAATCTGAAAAAGGGAGAGCCTAAGTCAACTATGTAGTGAGATCTAGGAGTTACTTTACGCTCAAGTGCTTTTGAAAAGCTCCATGGTGTTAAATGCTGGTGGTGTTTTGTTGTTGTTATGTGTAACGCTGATGCGTCCTCCGTAGCTCCATGGTGATCAGAGACCTGACACTGCGCAGTGCTGCCAGTTTCGGCTCCTTCCACCTGATCCGGCTGCTGTATGACGAGTACATGTTTTACCTGGTGGAGCACCGCGTCGCCCAGGCAACCGGGGAGACGCCCATCGCCGTCATGGGAGAGGTTTGTCTGAAGCTTTCACTTCGTTCTGTTTTAATCCTTTTTTGTTTTTGGTAGTTATTATGTGCTTATATGAATGTAATGTTGTCTTTTTGCATTTTAGTTCAGTGACCTCAGCTCAATGATGCCCCCACTGTTGGAGAAAGGTACAAACTCGCTTATTTCTTAAGTGGTGCTTAAGTCATTCGGAGTAGTTTGATGTGAAATAGGTCATCATAGAGAAACTTGCTGACAAAGATTTCTTTACAGTGGTGCTGATAGGAACCAGGGGTCACAGTGTTTGCAAAGCCACTATAGCCATTTTATTTACTATCTGAAATGGCTGCTGAATTCTGAGTTTATAATGATAATATAATGATAATCATAATGATAAATTAGTAGTAAACCTTTCTGTAGGGACTGTTTTTACTTACAACACCCTCCACCCATTCATCATGTATAGGTTTTAAAAGGTAGATTTGGGCTAAAGCAAGGTTGTCAAACTCAACCACTAATTATTAAAATATATTATAAATATATATTAAAAATCTCATCAAATCTGTGGACCAGAGGAAAAATCTTTTTATTTAATTTTTAATTTTATTAACCTGAACTGCCCACTGTTTATTCAAAATGCGCAAAAACCTCAGTAGTAAAATATCAGGGCTTGTAGTGGAGCTTGAAATTTAACATGAATACTCAAAATATTCAAAGTTTAAACGTCCCGAGTAGCTCAGTCTTTAAAACCTACCCATCTGCTTGAACTAGACGACTATCATCCTTTCTTTGCTGCAAGTTCATTAAGACTCGGGCTCAGTTTCTGAGCTGACGTTAAGTGTTTATGTTGGTTGAAATGCAGCTGGTGTGTGGAATTGTGTAGAATTGAGGTGTAACCGCCATCCGATAGACTACAAACACTAAGAATGTTCTTAAAATGCAGTACTTGGGGAAAAAAAAAACATAAGAAATTCTCAAATATTCCCTTAAGATATCTTAATTATTTTCTTAAGATGGAAGAAAATCTTAATTGTTTTATGTACTCTACGTTACATTTGACCATGTACCATAAATGATGGAGATACATTTTGAATTAGTGTTCACTGTCTTTGCGTTATTTCATTTACTCTGCTCAGAGGAGCAAAATGGAGGAAAAATATCAAACCAAGCGTTTAAACAGTTTTAGCAAATAAGAATTAGAGGTGATGGTGGAGGAAATAGCCATCAGGAAAAAATCCTCCTTGGAAAATATGATGATTGTGGGGTGATGGACGAGGAGGGCAGGAGTGGCAGAGGCAGCATCCGTGATGAATTTAGATGCTCACCTCGTCAACACTTACCCCCTAGAACAAGTCTGAGTCTGTCATAAGGTTAAGAAAATGTTTAAGAACATAATATTTTCATGAATACCACTAGTTCTTAGAATTATTCTTAAGAAAACAGTTCAGAAAAGAAAATAATTCTTAAGAATGAAGTTACCCCCCCATCCGGTGGGCCCAAAGAATTTCTCAGTCAGTTTGTATTGAGGTCCCTGTAGTTACTGAATAATAAGGCTTAGTGTGTAATAAGCCTGAGATTTTAAGGGATTAAGAAAAAAAAACGCATTTAATTTTTTTTCATTCGTGATTCCAGCCCCAGGTTCCCATCATTACCACTGTGAACAATACTAAGGTTTCTCTAGAACAGACCATTTCAAACCAAACCACTCTGAATGACTGTTTACATCCTGACCATTTCATTATGCAGAACGTTTTGAAGAACCGTGGTCAACAACACAGTTTTGCACCACTATTGAGGACTCAGTATAAACCTTCACCCCTGTGTTTAAGACTGAGAAGCTCCACAAAAATGGACCCTTTTTTTAACCTCCTCTCTCTTCTTTCCCTCAGATGCCTCATTCTCTGAGGATATCGGTGACCTCGGCAGCGACGGTGACGTATCTCGGGGAACGTGTGAGCCTGCAATAAAGAGCGAGAGAATCGAGATCAACCACTCGCTGCAGGAGATCTGAGAGCCGCCCACCAAGACTGACCACTGCTCTGCCTGCACGGGCTCTGCTGTACCTGTGCAAGTGCGTGTGCGAGTGTCGGGTGGTGGGATTTTATCGATCGTCCTCAGATCCCACCGCCCTTGCTAGCGAGCTGCGTTTTAACACTGATTTTCGTTCCTAACGCGTACAGGAGTCTAGTTTTGTCCAGAGAGTTTATAGTAGTTAATCTGCTTGAGGGTCTGTTTGTTTCCTTTTGGGTCCTTGGTTTTCAGCCGTGCCTCTCCGAGCTCAGAGGGAGCTCAGCGCCGTGTTTAATGTGGGATCTCCGTGCCATAGTGTCCTTTTCAGTGCCTTAGATGAGAGCAGAAAACAGTCGCTGTATCCGGGCCGTGCCTGTACTCGCAGTATGAATGTATCGTCTGATGACCTCAGCTGTCTCCAGCACCTTCCCGCAGAGGCTGCAGGGCTGTCCTCCTGTAGCTACGGCTCCGTCCGCGCGTGCTCTGATATAATGCAAGCCCACTAACCCAAAGCAGCCTTGCGTGCTTCAGCCCCACCAGCACTGCAGACCTCTTGCCGCCATGGCAACCACATGGACGGCACATGTATGTCGCTGTTTCTTTCTAAGACGAAAAGAATTGTATATAAAAAGAATAGATAATTACAAATACGACACCCCTGGCCATATGAGATGAGCTGTTGATACCTCAACCACCGTTTCTATGCTAACTTTCTGTATTTCTGTAGTGTTGATTTGGTCCTGGAGGAGCCCCCCACCCCCCCCACGGCAACTGTACATAAACTTATTTAGAGGAGATCCTGTGAAAAGTTCTAATGGTGATTGAGCCAGTAGTGCTGTTCCTCACTCTACAGGCTCCAGGAGTCGTCAACTGGAGAAACTAGTGCTTCTAGTTGGCTTCGGTCCAGTTTTGCATGTTAGACTGAAATGTTCTGAAGCTTCTAAGGGGGATTTAAAGGGGCCGTTGGATCTTTGGTTGTGCTGAAAGTGACAGAATGTCTGTAAATGACTATTTGAAGTAACTGGAATGAGCCTGCGCTCGATGGTTTGTTTGCGTGTTTAAATGTTCATTTTCATTCACGATTTTACCAGAGATTTCCTTCAAATTTAAGATTTCAGACTTAAAACGTCGAAGCAGATCTTCCGTATGATGGGAATTAAAATGGAAAGATGTTACCAATGAATTAGTAACAAAAAAATGTGCTGCATTTGTTTTCACCCGTAAGTGTGGAATCTGTAAGTGCCCAGCTTTATCGTTTATGAGCTGGTTAAACTTTGATGGGGCTTTATTGTCTGTTTTTAATCAAACTTTGTCATATGGTCTATGAATATTGTAGTTGATGGATTTCCAATGTTTTTGGACGCTATTAAGCTGAGAAAAGAAGCCCAGTGATGTCCGCTCGTCCTGGTTTTTCGCCACGGTTTTTCCCCCTGATTGTTTACAGAGATGCATTTCAGCGCTGGTGGATGTTTTTCTACATGATTTTATGGGAAGTGAGTTGGCTGATGTCTCTCTGGCCTCCCCTCCGCACTCCTCCTTTCTCTTTTCCATTGTTGGGGCGTTGGGAGGTTTCAGGCTGTTTGTTTTCTCGTGCCTGTTACAGTACTTTGCCTTTAGTGTGTTTGGGGAAGAGTATTCACTTTGTGTAACCTGGTAATATTTATTTATTTTTTTTTGGTAATGCTGTTTTAGATCTTCTGGCTACGGTTTATTTTTATGGGAGTAGATATGATTCTTCTCACAACTATATTGATACCTTATTTTTGTGTTTTTTTTGTTTTTTTCCTTGAAAATAAACTGTTCTTGACTTCTTTAATTAGACTAAGAACAGACTATAGTCTGTAACAAAACTGCTTACATCAATTGTATTTTGTACTGGTATAAAACGTGTAATAAATTGGTGTAAACCACTTATTGATCCATTGATTTTGATTTCTCAGCACGGTGAGCCGCTCAGGATTCCATCTGCTACTGCGATTCGGTCATTACAAAGTCTTTAATAATTAATTTTATCTTATACTCACATGAACAAGACCACTTCTTTTTTTCATAGTAACATCATTCAAGAACCCTTACATGTTTAAACTGGAATCACAAATTTTCACCAGAGGAAGAAAAATCTTACATCCAGTTTCCAAATCGAGCTGGCAAAGGTACACAGTACGCATTGCACACAAGAACGAACGAACAGACAGTACAAATAAAAGAGCACTCAGAGGGGAGAGGACAGGCATGTATAGTGAGCCGTTTGTACAGCGAAGCGCTGAAAGATTAAAACAAGGCCAGGTCTAATACGCCACTATTATATTGGTCCTTATCAGCAGCAAGGACAGCACAGCCAATTGGATTTCCAGTGTCTATTCCTCACAGCAATGCAACATGGGTAAAGTCCAGGTCCCAGGCACGTCACTCCAGCTGTCCGTCCGGTCCCCGATGGCAGGACCTGGCCAAGTCTGATAAAAGTGCAAACTCTGTGCCTCGGTTAAATAACCAGGCGCGATCTCTCACAACGAGCAGCCGGCCATGTACTTCCCTGAGAAAACAGAACAGCGTAGTTCATTTAATTCATACTGGAACCACATGTTCAAATACAAACCCACAGCAGTAGAACTGAGTCTAATTACTGTAAAGGGTGTAATTCATTTAATTCATACTGGAACCACATGTTCATGTTCGAATATAAAACCAAACTAGAGTCCCAAAAGCTTCACATGCTGAAAACTGTATATAATCATACTGTAAATTATGATCTGGTCACTCATCCCACATTTTCTGTCATTTTTATTGTCCATTTTTTGCCAAAGTTTGCAGTTTTATGTCCCTAAAACAGTCATAATTAATTTTTTTTGTCTTTTTTCATTATTAAAATATAATATTAGTATAATTTTTGTTACATATTATAATTTTATTATTATGACATAAATGTAACTTAAGCCGGCAGCATTCTTCAAACCATGAAAACTAAATGAAATCTAAGTTCTGCCAAACATGTGAATATACTTATAAAGAACTCTGACACAGGCAACCATGTGACACCATGAGGACCAATCACAGTCAGGGGGAGGTCTCAGAACAGGCAGTACAGTGATTAGGAGCTCTGTTCTACGGCAGGTCAGAGAGGCCATGAGCTGTTGCTGTAGTTTTCTGGATTGTTCTTGAGATAAGAAGATAATTAACTCACTATCTCAAGATAACTTTGTTGTCCTGAGATCACAAGATAATTAACTTGCTATTTCAAGATACTAATTTTGTTGTCTTGAGATAACAAGATAAGCAACTCATTATTTCAAGAAAACAATTTTGTTAACTTGAGATCACAAGATAATTAACTTGTTACATTAAGATAATTTTGTTGCCTTCAGATAACAAGATAAGCAACTAATTATTTCAAGATAATTTTGAGATCACAAGATATTTAAGTTGTTATCTTGAGATAAGTAACTTGTTATTTCAAGATAATTAACTCTTTATCCCAAAATAACAATCCAGAAAATAATAACTACCTCGAGGCCAGTCTGGACTTCCATACTGTTCAGCAAGTGATGCACCCGACTCAGCTTAGCGTGTCGTTTAGGCCAAAAACATGACTGAGCCTTTGAGACTGATATGTAAATGACTGGGCGGTTCTGATTGGCTGATTCATAACTTAAGTTAAAAACAGGATATTTTTCTGCGTATTTTCACATATGGGCTGTACAGACTGGGGAGTGAACAGTATTTTTGGCAATGTTTACATCCAAAGAAAATGTAATTTTCCGTGATTTGGCCCTTTAAGGCTGACTGCAGTTACATTTTCCAGTTAATTAAAGTCTATTTTTTTATCATTTTCTCCTTGATTCTTAAAAACACCCTTCACTCCTCTTAATCTGGGACAGATAAAGTCTCTCTCACCTGTGGCGAACCTCTTCTTCACCAGGGACATTCTGTAACGGCTGCCCACCAGCTCAACGTCCATCCCCGAGAGGGACGCTCCCGAACCCACGAACTGCACGGCCAGGCTGGGAGGGGGGCCGCGGGGAACCTCCAGGCACTGCCAGCTGGCACACAGCGTGCCCGAACCTGATACACAAACACAAAATCACTCCACTGACCTCTTTAGGGGTCTGTATGTAGGTCCAGACTTCAGTTCCTCTCAGAACTTACACATCAACACTGTGCAGCGTTTTTAACATCCTTTGAAAGCGCCAGCTGCACTTTACACTGTGTGAGCATTTCAGGAGAAATGGACCAAAATGACCACTAAAAAATGTTTCACTCCAAAATGACAAAAAATGTATTTTGTTACAGGTCGATTACAAACATCCCCGAAGCATTCGAGCATCCTAATAATAAACATTTTTATTTATTCCCATGTTTCTATCATGATAGGATGTCATTAGCATTTCACAAATATAGACTGTTTACACTCTACAGGTAGTTCTGTCCATAAGCCACTCAAAGCATCATTGGGCGCAGGAATAAGGAGGATACTGGGTCATAATTCTTAAGGATTAACTGAGTAATAAAGTCTAGGTTTAGAATTGAATGTTCAAGTTCAGAAATACACGTAAATGTTCCCGATCAACGGCTCTGAAACGGAATAGGAATAAATAAGATCCTGTGTGGCTCCTGGTACTCGAGCACATCCATTAGACGCAGTAGAATCTGATTCATGCTGTGATGGAGGGATGTCAGAGTCAGCCACAGCAAGTGGGTGTCAAACATTAGCAGAGAGAATTGATTGACCAGGGTCGCCTGATTTCCTGTTTATTCCAGAAAAGCTCTCTGCTCCTCTAATGTGGAGGTTTTTCTCAGCCTCAGCTCCCACTCCAGGCTTTCCTATGCTAACGCTGCCTTTCAGCTTCAGCCTTCCACACCGACACTGGACTGTTTATAGAGAAAAGGAGGAGGTCAGCATGAAGGTCATGCACATTTTTTTCGTTTTTGTCTTGTTTGGGAAGAAAGTGTGTGGGTGATTTCGGAGAGCCAGAAGTCTCCAGCAAAGTTAGAAATGGATTCATACTCATTTATATTTAATATAAAGTAATAAGTCATCTGAATCGGCCCACATGAATCATTTCTAAAGCAGTTCTGCGCCGTCAACCAAGTTAGAGTCTGAGTGTTCATCCACTTATTTAAGACAGTATATATATATATATATATATATGTGTATGTCTGAATGTGTGTGTGTGTATATACATACACACACACACACACATATATATATATATATACACACACACACACACACACACACACACACACACACATTCAGCCATACCTATGGATATATTTATATCTATATATCTTATATGTCGCTGCTGTTGGAAGAAAACCTTGTTTTTCAGTTTAATAATTTGAAAATGCCTGTTGTCCTTTACATTGTGTGTAAATTTCATGATGAATGGACCAAAAGAAACGACCCAAAATGACTTGGAAAGAAAGTCTGGTTCCATTGACTTCCATTAAAAGTAAGGTATGTTTTTTCCTTCTCCTGTAAAGTTACCATTTTGGAGATAGAGTTTTTTATATATACCTTTTTCTATAAAGGCTACATAAACAAATAAATATAATTGTTTTCTATGTAGGCCCATTAAAATGAATAAATATATATTTAATATATGTTTAAGAAACTGACCAGATTTTCAGCCTGAAGGGGGTGGTAAGACCAGGAACATGAACTGGTAAGCTTTATGTTGCTGGAGTGAGGAGCAGAATCTGGACCTGCTGACGGTCATTTCAAGGTTTTATTTTTAAAAGCTGCTGAAATGAAGGTGTTAAACGGTGCTGCGTACGCGGCCAGGCTGGAGTTATGACTCCCCTGATATGATTCATCCTATTTCTCTTCAGCTCTCACTTGGTTTTGCTATGTGGACTCAGTCTGGTGTTCATTTAACTTACATTACATAATAATTTCAATGTTATTACACGATTTGCAATTAAGGTGAGTTACAGAATGCTTTGCCTTTGCGTTCAGGTTTGTGTCCGTCAACTATCAAATTCAAATCATGATAAAATTTCTCCTCTTCTACTAACGCAGATGTTCAGGGTGAAAATCTAAATTTTTAATGAGAAATTATGAATATGAATATGAAATGCTTTTGCAACCTCTGAAGGGTCAGTGGGAGCAGAACCTTTTTTTCTATTTTTTAGATGTGTTTTAATTTCATAAAGGATGATGGTGACTGATGATGACAACAAAATGAGTAAATACAGGCTACAAGAAGATAATACTATTATATGCACAAATGGTTTGGCATTCCAGACTGAATCCAAATAGCCGAACAAGGAGATCCAGCGGTTTTTCTCTGGTAGGTAAGGGGAGAGAGAAGAGTGGATGAGAGAGAAAAAGAGGTTGTGATGGAAACCTTTGCTGTGGTTGGTTGGGGAGAGGTTCGGCAGTTTCCATAGCAGTCTCCTCTCCTCAGCATTCCTGCAACAAACAAACAAGAGAAAACAAACAAAAACACATAAATAAAAGGGTCGGCACAGCAGCTCATCAGGCACATCATCCTGGCCACTCTCTCCCTTTCTTTCCAGACATCCCTCCCAATTACTGAATTCAGCTACAGCTTGTATGATCTCCATAGAAAAGCCCTGTCCAGAATGGGAACGCAGCTCTTGCGATTTGAAAACTGCACTTTCTTAAATTGCGATAACGATATAGAAACGATTTATCGTTCAGCCGTATCATGAAGACTACTGGTTTATTTATTTACAGCCATTAGGTACAAGTTATTTATTCTCATTAGATATTTCTGAGGAGAATAAACAGAGACAGAGGAATACGAGTGAAAGAAACAGGAGTTTCCAAAACTGGAGTTCAAAATTTGATTAAAAACTACAGAGAAAATGTGGCTCCTAACAACCACCTGGAAGACCTGGTAGACCCCAAAACTGCCCCCATCAGATAAACAGCATTTAAAGCTTTCATCTTTGAGAGAGAGGAGAAAATCAAGCTGCTTCAGATCTGAAAACATCCACAGGTGTTTCTGTCCATCCTTCCACTGTGAGAAGACGACTCAGCGCTGTGGGTCTGAAAGGATGCGTAGCTGTTCAAGAAGAACCTCACTGAGAAAAGGAGACGGACACATCAAACAAAGAAGCTGAACAATGGACTGACCACCCCAGAGTCCAGACCTCAACATCACTGAATGTGACTACTTGGATCGAGGTTGAGAAGCAGAAAATGCAAAACAAACTTCCAAGACTGAACTTTGGAGGTGGAGGTCTGCGTGGGACTGTTTTTTCAGTCCCGCTCCCGTCTGCAGGAATTAAACCACACAACGGTTATTTTTGGTGTTTTGCTGGGCAGCTGTGGCCGATGGACTGAAGGCTCCGCCATCTCTGTAATGTCTGATTCACACACGCTGCCTCTGTGTGGTGTGAGTGATGAGACATTCCTGTTTCCAGACAGACAAATGGTCACATCACTCTGCTCAACAAAAATATCATTTAGAAATGTACACAGTATATCTGTTTATCCTCGACAGCATTCTGACATCTGATTAGGCAAAAGTTTGAAGCCTGTAGACCAACCGATAAATCTGTTTGCAGCACAGAACGTTTAACTAGTATTTTGTCATGAATTACATAAAAACCGCCTTTAAGTTTGTATACAGTCCTCTGTTTAATTTTCCATTGATTTTCATGGCTTATTTCAGTGTATTTATCTGTGTGACGGCGCAGTGCGTGGAAAAAACCTGCGCTGGGTCTGTTCTCTTCAGTGCGGCGTCTGGGACTCCAAAATGACAAGCAAGGCTTCTCGTGTCGCTCACGCCGCGCAGGCGCAGTATGTGTGAGTCAGACCTTTGGGGAATCTGCGTGTTGTTCACGCGATCGTTTGCTCGAGAATGACTTTATTCATGTTAACTGTTTTACTGTTATATTGTTTATATATGATTCAGTGATCGTTCTGCTTTATTTAGGCTACTCATTATTTCTCTTCATGCGTGCTCCTGCCCGCTCCAGCCCGAATGGGTCTGATATCCTGCCCGCTACCGCAAATAACGCTGAAAATGAGTCCCGCGCCGCAAGATACTGTGGCGGGTCCTACGAGTCCCGCAGGAATTCGTGGTAGTGTAGACCTCTATTTGGAGGTGTGTCTGCAGATTTCTTTGAGAAACTGAAAGTGAGACTCCTGAAAAGAATGGAAGCTGGAAAAAAGGTAAAAAGTGACTCACTAAAAACTGAAAAAAAAACTGATATCATATTTAATTGTTGAGGCTTCTGTGTAATTCTCTGTTAAATATGTGTTTCTGCTTTTCTTTTCCTGTTGTCGAAAAATGTAAAACTTGTATTTAATGGCCGTTTTGACTGAAAACGAAAATAAATGACTGACTTTTGCACAATACTGTATACAGTCCTCATGAATGAACATGTCAAAACGCAAAAAAGGTGCAGAAGATAACTCTGGGTGAAATCACCTTCCGGACATTCTGAAGTAGAGGCTGTTACTGCAGCAAAGGAGGAACAAACGCCCTATTAATACCCTTCATTCCAGAAGATACGCTGGATAAGCAGGTGTCTGTAATCTATAGTGTCTCCCTCACGCTCAAACTCTTTAATCCTCATCAAGCGGCCTGAAAACGGTCAGAAAGATTGCTATAAGCCAATAAGATGAATCACTCAGTGATGTTCCACCCACCTGTTCCAAGAGATTTGATTGAAGAGAAGTACAAGCCCCACGTCTGCAGGACCGTGTGGGCTGGAATATTATTTTTTCGGTGATCTATGCTGGAATTATCTGAAAATAGCCTCACATCTTCCTCACTCTGACCTCTTCTCTCTACTTCCTCTCAATGTCTTCCCAACCCCCGATCATCATACTGTTTACATATAATTCACCCGCAGTCAATCATCCTCCTACACTCCTGCTCCCTCTTTCAATCTCTCACCATGATGCGGGTGGTTGGCACTGCAGGTCAGTGGCTGTATGGTCCAGCGGCAGCAGCACCTGCACGGCTGTGAGCTGGGTGGCGGGGGCGGTTGCCGGGCAACAGTGGTAGTCGAGGGAAACGCGAGTGACCGTCCCGCTGCGCTGGCACTCGGCCGACAGCAGCAGAGGAGCCCGAGCGGGGTCCTGCGACGACACCTGTGGGCAGGGGTCAGAATACACTGTGATGTTTTGTGATCTGTGTTTTATGTTATGCTTATTCATATTTGAAGTAAACATTTATTTATCCTTATATCAACTGTGCATTTTTAATAAGCAGAACTAAACATGAGGCAGGACAATCACATTAACATAATACATAACACAAAAGAACACAAGAAACCTCCCCACATTCAGTGAGCTAACAGTAACAGTGTAACAGTATAAGGCAATATATCCAGTATGTACATGTATATTCTTCAATTCATTAACCGTAAACCCATCAGGTAGACCACCACAGCCCTGTCCAGTGAGCTGTGATCTATTCTTTCCAAAGGAAGACTGAAAAGAAAGGGAGACCACATGTTCTAACTCTACATCATTTCCTCAAACCACTTATATTACCACTTATCACGAGTCCATTAACTGTATTATTCAGCCACCACATGAATAAAATGTGAATCAATGTCAATGTGAATCACTATTCATGACACACAATACACTCTAAATAAAGATGGTTCTTTAAGGGTTCTTCAGTAAAGAAAACTGTTCTATATAGAACCATGAACACTCAAAGAACCATGATAACCTTTTAATTATGCAAATGGTTCTTTAAGTGTTCAGGGTTCTATACAGAACAACTGTCTTAACTAAAGAACCCTTGAAAATCCATCTTTTTTAAAAGTGTACATTGTCACAAGTATTACTTTCCTCCACCCACTAGTGCACGGTGACATCATCAAAAAGCAGGAAGGCAGGGCAAAAGTTATTACATTTTATACAACAGTTAGTTCCGGCCACGCAAGCTGATTGGTTGAGCAGCGTTCTAACTGTGCTGTTTTTTCGCCATAACATCACGGTTTTTCATGAACACTATCACTCCGCTGAGACGCCGTTGCTAAGCAACGGCTTTGACAGCTGTAGGAGCCATTTGAACGTTTTTACTTCCTACTTTGCGCAAACTGAAAATGGACACTTTTAAGATCACATTTGACCGACAGCCAATTTGGTCAGACTCTGAAGATGAGACGACACTAAATTCCCAAACTGTCATCACCACTGAGCAGCTTTTCAGTCGGCAGCTGTGACAGAAGAACAGCTAAACAACCTGGAATCAGCCAGAAATGAACCCAACACCATTCGCCAAACTAAATGGGCTGTAAGATGCTTTACAGACTGGCTGGAACAAAACAACATTAATACTGATCTGAGAAAAACTGACAAAACTGAGCTGAACTTGATATTGTGGCAGTTTTATGGCTCAGTCTGATTTGGTCCGACTCTGAAGATCAGACTACATGTTTGGCGAATGGTATTGGGTTCATTTCTGGCTGATTCCAGGTTGTTTAGCTGTTCTGTAACAGCTGCCGACTGAAAAGCTGCTCAGTGGTGATGACAGTTTGGGAATTTAGTGTAAGGAGCCGGAGAACGAACTGCTGGCTGTGCAGCGAGTGGGCGGAGCTCGTTACTCTGGCGTAGCAACAAGCTGCTCGTTAAGGAACTACAATTTGCAGAAGGAACTGCGAACATTAAAGCATATTAAACGCCGCGTTCACGGCCCAGTTTATTAATTTATTACTTTATTTATTTGACTGTTGCATAAAAAGCAATAGAACACTCGAGGAGTTTGTTATCGCCAATAACATCACGGCTGTGATTTGGTCGCAGGCACGAGCCAAAGGCGAGTATTTCAGGTTGACGTTAAGAGGAGCCACTGAAGTACTTTAAGGTGGTTTTACCACTGAGAAAAGGAGACGGACACATCAAACAAAGAAGCAGAACAATAGACTGACCACCCCAGAGTCCAGACCTCAACATGTGCTTGGGATGACTTGGGATGGTGAGAAGGAGAAAACAACTTCTAAGACTGAACTTTGGGGGTGTGTCCGCAGATTTACTTGAGAAACTGAAAGAGAGACTCCTGAAAAGAATGGAAGCCGTAATAAGGGTGAAGAGCCGACACATAAAATACTGAAAAAAATATATCATTTGTTGAGGCTTCTGTGTAATTTTCTGTTAAATATATGTTTCTGCTTTTCTTTTCCTGATGTTGAAAAATGAACATCTCAAAAAGCAAAAAAGGTGCAGCAGATAACTCTGGGTCAAAGACACCTTCCTGACATTCTGAACTGGAGGCTGATACTTCAGCAAAGGAGGAACAAACTCCCTATTAATACCCTTCATTTCAGAAGAAACGCTAGACAAGCAGTGAGGGAGACACTAAGCTATAGTGTATCTGATATACAGAAAATCCAGTTCCAGTGTCCAAAATACATTTACAAATAATAATTAATAATATGTTGGATTTTTTCAGCTAATGCTAAATAAAGACTCACCTGGTACTTCAGCAAGCCCACATTATAATAGGACGCCTGTGGGTTAAGCTCCGCCTCTCTCTGAAGGTGAAATGTCAAGGCCTGCATGTTGAACCAGAAGTCTCTGGAATCAGGGTCGTTCTGGGACGGGTCACTGAAGAGGGAGAGGAACCAAAAACAACTCCATGATCCATACAATGGACAGTTTCTTAGTATATACTTTGGTATTTACACCGATCAGGCATAACATTATGACCACCTCCTTGTTTCTACGCTCGTTGTCCATTTTATCAGCTCCACTTACTATATAGGTGCACTTTGTAGTTCTACAGTTACAGACTGTAGTCCATCTGTTTCTCTGATACTTTGTTAGCCCCCTTTTACCCTGTTCTTCAGTGGTCAGGACCCCTATGGACCCTCACAGAGCAGGTACTATTTGGGTGGTGGATCATTTTCAGCACTGCAGTAACACTGACGTGGTGGTGGTGTGTTAGTGTGTGTTGTGCTGGTCTGAGTGAATCAGACACAGCAGTGCTGCTGGAGTTTTTAAACACTGTGTCCACTCACTGTCCACTCTATTAGACACTCCTACCTTGTCAGTCCACCTTGTAGATGTAAAGTCAGAGACGATAGCTCATCTGCTGCTGCACAGTTTGTGTTGGTCATCCTCTAGTCCTTCATCAGTGGTCACAGGACGCTATTGGCTGGACATTTTTGGTTGGTGGTCTATTCTCAGTCCACTGAGGTGTTTTAAAAACTCCAGCAGCACTGCTGTCTCTGATCCACTCAGACCAGCACAACACACACTAACACACCACCACCACGTCAGTGTTACTGCAGTGCTGAGAATGATCCACCACCCAAATACTACCTGCTCTGTGAGGGTCCATGGGGGTCCTGACCACTGAAGAACAGGGTAAAAGGGGGCTAACAAAGTATGCAGAGAAACAGATGGACTACAGTCTGTAACTGTAGAACTACAAAGTGCACCTATATAGTAAGTGGAGCTGATAAAGTGGACAATGAGCGCAGAAACAAGGAGGTGGTCATAATGTTAGGCCTGATCGGTGTATATTTATAGTATGTTTAGTAAAAAAAAGAGAAATATAAAAACAGCACACATTACATATAATTCATTTGATTATTATGATTATTTTTTGAGACCTCAAAAGATTTGTATTTACTTTCTTCAAAAGTTAGTTCACCTGAAGAGTAGCTTTTGATTGGGTAAGAAGTGATCCACCCGAGAGATGTTCACCAGTCGAAAGCTGAGCACAGGTGCATTTGGGTTGGCAGTGAATATACGACTGATTCCAGCAGGAAATGACATGGTGAGGTCACCGGTGATCTTCACCAGACAGCTGAAACGCATACATACACATATATTAATATCATCTAAATATCATGGAAATGTACAGTAACACAAATAATGTATTTCTCCAGATATAAACACATAAATATCTGGTTTTACACCATCTCAGATGGTTGTTTGTCTTTGTAATGAGGGGTTTATGCACTGCAGCCCTACTGTAATATCGCTCTCTATGCGGTTTTGGATGGACTGCTCTTGCCGATCGTCTGATCACGTCCTGCATCCACATTCTGAGTCACCTGAAGAACCGCTGCTCTTCTGGTTTTTATTACATATTGCAGTAATCATAGATACACTGTTCTCTATCTGAGGTGATACGTCTGCGCGTCCGCCATGTTGGAGAGGTCAAGATCCGCTTGTGAACAGATTCACTTGTATTAAGAGACGAAGAGTCTCAGGATTAAATCAGCCTCAACTTCCTTATTACTCAACTGATTTTCACCAAATCTGTTTTGTTATAATCCTCAGACACAGATTAATCCGGGCTGCACGGATCTGCTCTCAGTAGCTTTTATTTCCTTAATAACTGATCGTGCTAATTAGCCGTCCGGACCAGCAGGAAAGTATTCAGTCTGTACCTGACAGTAAAATCCAAGTTTAGCGCAAGAAACACAAACTCACACATATCAGCAAATCCATCACTGTGTGAATCACTTCTAATCTTAATACACATAAAAATAAAACAAACCCCCAAAAACAGTAAGAAGAACGATGTTAAAGTTGGCTTCCAGTTCGCAGCTTCCTGTTAAAATTTTCCCGTTCCACCTTAAATGGTGCAGCAGTCACTTTCTGGTGCCTGAAGCATTTAAGGTGGAACTGGAACATTCAAACTAGAAGCTGGCAAATAAGTCGCTAACTTCAGCTTTGTGTAAGACGGTGATAATGTTAATCTATTATGAATATCTACACGGATTAAGGAATGCCATAACTTACCCAGCTACAAAGCTTTAACCATCATTGTAAATAAATAAATGCTACAAGTTAAGATCCTCTGTATAGGCTATTAAATGAAATGAGCTTAATATAAAACAAGAGGAAAAACAATCACAACAGGTTCTCTGTGCCTCTCCAGCCACACGGCCATATCTACACAAACAATACGCATCACACAGACATGAGTGTGGATCGCTGCGTTCCCTCCGTTACATAATCCTATCCCACTTTCTGAGTGTAGTATTCTTGAGATAGTGTAATTTTGGACAGTATCTTTTATTAAACTGCTGCTCTGTAATGGTACTGAATGCAGTCCAGCAGCAATGTTGACCGCCCTAAAATGGCAGCACCTCTGATGTGCCTGGCTGGACCCAACGCGGCATCTAGGTATGTATATCTATGGCACTAATGCACGAGCATCACGCTCACAGATTGCACGCTTTCAAGCACTTTTTACTGATGTATTTCCCACAGATCTAAATGCAGGTGTCACTTTATTCAAAATATAGCTAACAAAGGTAATTGTAGCTAAAATCATAGCTAACATTACCTTTGTTAGCTACATTTTTAAAAACACAAACCATCACACCCAGTTATCTCTCTGTGCACAGTCGACTTGTGTACTTGAGTCACCCACCTGTTTTGGAGCGACCCTGTAGAAAAATATCTGCGAGCCAGACACAAAGTAGGACTCAGGGCTCCGTTACTGTCTGTGTTGCGTAAATCTGCGGCTGGGAGGTTTGTGATCTTTTCTATCTCCGATCAACGAAAACAGGTGTAATCTACCCAGCAGAACTGGTGGCCGGCGCAAACTGAAACGTATTTCGTTTTCTTTCAAGTTTTCCCATCGATCAAATCGACCAGCCATTTTAACTGATTTTAAGGCAGAACTTACAGCTGCTAAGGGGTATGTGTAACTTTTATATTATCGCTTCAAGCCACGTTGAAACTATGTTACTTGGTGCAACGGGTTAAACTCTAGTAGCTCGTAAACTTTTACGTTCAGTTTACGTTCAAACTAGGCTACGACTGAACTTCATACCCAGCCATTACCATGTCTTGGGATGTCTTAAGTCATGCCTCGTCTTCAAGACATACTTCTTTGTCTTAAGACGTTAACTTTCATGTCTCATGACAAAGACAGTGTCTTCACTCATACGTCTTAAGACGTTCTTGAGATGTCTTGGCGTAAGAAAATGTCTCAAGACATCTTAGAAATACTGTCAAGACATCTTAAGACACAGTGACAGCTGGGTATGTTACGTTCAGCTGGTGCACCTGGCTGCAGGTCTTAAGAGTGACAGAAATGAATAAATGTAAGAATGGAGGAAAACAGAGGACAGGAAATGAACGCTGACTGCTTACCGGTTGTGTTCTCCTCCTTTAAAGTAAGCGTTAATGTATTCTGTGATTGCTGCGGCTACAGGCCACGACTCCTGAGTGCTGAGAGAGATGGGACTCGGCCCTCGGGACAAACCTGTGAGGACACATTGCTCAGAAATAAATATCATTTGAAACTAATAATGCAGTCTAATTCAGGACATTTTGAGAAAAACAAGTTGTGCTCTACAGTTTCTCATTCGCTTGAATGAGATTTTTTATAAAGCATCAATCATCACTATCTATGAAAGAAAGCATTTGTGGGCGGAGCATAGAGGAGACGCTTGTATTGCCATGTCAGTCAGTTAAAAGAGGACTCCTCGAGCTTCACGGCCCATTCGTGTAGGCTGCTGATCTTAACCCATGCTGCTGTGCACAGATCAGGAGGTGTGAGGTCATGCTGGTGGTCAAGTGCGAGTGCCCACCTCGTGCAGGACTCTGGGCGCGGGTCTGGCCGCCCCAATCACTGGGGCTGGAGGAGGAGGAGGATGTTGGGGGAGGGCTGGGCTCAGGCAGAGGAGACGAACACAGGGACCTGGACTGAGGGCCAAAGGTCAGGGGTTAGGAGAGAAGGAAAATGGAGAGCTACCACAGCCAGATTAGAGGGAGCCTGGTCACTTCCCCCATTATAACAAAAACATAACAAAACACTAGAGGGCAGCCATGAGCGAGGCCTCAGTGAATTAGAGTAAACAGAGCTAAACGGCTAAAAATGAAAAAATGAAATATATTTCTAGACATTTATGCTGGATCTGCCTTTAATGTTGGACAGTAAAAGGAAGGATTACAATAAAAATAAAAGAACAGTAGTTTTTCTACACTAAACAGGTTTTGGACACTAACATTACGGCTACTGAGCACTGATTGGTTGGCATTACTGCTACTCAGTGCTGACTGGTTGGCATTACTGCTACTGAGCGCTGATTGGTTGGCATTACTGCTACTGAGCGCTGATTGGTTGGCATTACTGCTACTGAACGCTGACTGGTTGGCATTACTGCTACTGAACACTGACTGGTTGGCATTACTGCTACTCAGTGCTGACTGGTTAGCATTACTACTACAAAGTGCTGATTGGTTGGTATTACTGCTACTGAGCACTGATTGGTCAGCATTACTGCTACTAAGTGCTGATTGGTTGGCATTACTGCTACTAAGTGCTGATTGGTTCACATTATTATGGAGGTAAAGCTGCAAAAAGCCTGTTTTGAATGTACTGTTTTTGCAATGTCATAAAAACCAACACATTTACACACAGCCTCACCCATTCCTTCTGAAGTTATAAGGAGGGTTTCAGCCTGGACTGTTTTCTGAACAAGACACAATACACGGCAGCCAATCAGAACAGGTCATTTGCATATACAAGTTTTAAAGGTACAGTAACAAATACAGCCTGTTTAATTTCCAGGGTCAAAGAGAGGCATAAGTGGACAGGGGACCTCAGGGGAAAAATAAAATTCAAGAAACGTAGGATTTGGGCTCTTTACAATGTATAAAAAAAGACGTCAACTTTAAAAAGGTTTTCACCCCTAAAACTAAAATTGTACTGTTATCAGTCAGAAAGCAGAACAAATCACACTTTGTGCAAGCATGAAAACTGTACATGCACTAGAAGCACAAAGACAGAAGCCTCAGATTAGCCGACTGCCTCACACTCCCCTCATCAAACAGAACAGTTGCCTCAACATCACTGAATTTAATTGTGTAACTGGTAAGATGCTGTACGCACTGTAACTACGTACCACAGCAAACAGTACTAAAATGGAAAAGACAACTAATGGAAGAAACAGAAACAGAAAAACAAATCTAGTAAAACCATGTCATAAAAGCCCAGAGGTCAGTGGTTTATTTAATAGACGTTTAATAGATGTGAGGTTTAAGGGCCTGTGTGCCCGTTGCTGTGAGTGTAATGAGGTCAGTGGGTTATTTACCCGCTCACAGCCACTCAGCCTGGCTGAGGAACGCTTAGACCGAGTGGGCTGAGGAGGAGCCAAAACCAGCAGCTCAGTACTGTCCTGCCGGAAACCACGCTGAGAGCCTGTGAGAGAGAAGGAGAGAGAGGGGGGATGATGGAAAAAGAAAGAAAAAAGCGAGTGAGAAATGAGGGGGAGAAACAAAGAAAAAGAGAGGGGTCAGTGAGAGAAAGGGCAGAGAGAACAGAAGAAAAATAAAGATGGCACAAGTTAGAGAAGTTATTAAGTTGTCCTGTAAGGCTTCGTCCTTAAAAGCATGATAAATAAAACAGGAAAAGTTTAGATCTGGGGTCAGCGGCTCTTTTACTGCCCTGTTGTGGGTCCACAGCAGAATTAGATTTGTGGGTAAAAATCAAATAATCCTCCTTTACAGTAAAATAAAGCTCTGCTGATCGTTCAACACAGTTTAACAATAAATGGTCTTAAATGGTACAACAGTCTGGCCTAGCTAGTAGCTAACAAAAAGGCAAAGAGAAAGATTTAAGATGAACATCAATAATTTGGAGACGAATGGACTTATTTGTGTTTATAATCACTCCAGCTGGTTTCCTGATACGTTTAATCCGCAACAAGAAACTGTCAAACACTAAAAAGTTGCGAAGCTGAAGTCAGTTTCTTGTTCGAATTCATCGAATTCATCAAATTTTCCTGTTCCACCTTAAATGGTGCCGCATTACATTCTGGCGCCTCAGGCACCATTTAAGGTGGACTGGGAAAATTCGAACAAGAAGCTGGTGAATGAGAAGCGACTTCAGCCTCAGAGAAATTTGATCGTTGAGAGAAATTTTACAAGAAACTGTTCTACTTTTACTATATGTGTACATTCACACATACTGAGACATATTTACAACCAGGATGGTAAAACAGACATAAAATGTTGCTCCCAAAGCGTTTTGATTTTTGTTGAAAGGACAAAAAGGCTCTTCTTAACATTTGGGTTGCTGACCCCTGGAATAGGGGCTAACGTTATTATATGTGTGCATAATTATTATTAGTACTATTATTATGCACTGCATATTATTTTACCAGTGTGTGTGTTGATGTCGAGGCAGTTCTGGTCTTTATCAGTGGAGAAGCAGAGGTCCTCTTGTGGTCCGGAGTGTCGTGTGAGCGGGGGTCCGTTCCTCCGCGGCTCCTCACAGCTCCTGCTCTGTTTCCTGCTGGACTCCTGCACCGTTGCTGCGGCGACAGTGTTGGTCTGCGCTCCTTCACTGAACGGGTTATGAACCGAGCTCCAGTGCACCAGCTCCTTCTTCGGCTGAGCGGGACTGGGGGGCGGGGTTAGGGCTGATCGCCGCCGTCCTATTGGCTCCTCCAGCCGCCTGAGCAGCGGCTAGAGCCGACTGGTGCGTCGGGCTGCCGATCATGGTGATGGCAAACGGGTCGTCGGGCGAGTCTGGAGGCGGGACGCTGCGGTCTCTTTTTCTCTCTCTGTCTTTGCGTGAGGAAGATGAAGGTGGGGGGAGTGTTTTAGTGTCGTTTAAGGGTTTGGTGAAAGGATCTGTGCGGCTGTCCCGCGAGGGCCGGGGAGGCGGGGGTGCCCAGGCAGTTTCGGGAGGATTTCTGGTGTCCTGGGACGTTGGGCGCTCAAATGCTGCCAAAAAGGGGTCCTCAGGTGGGATGTGCTTACAACTCCACACAGTAGGCTCCATTTCTGGGGCTGCCAGGCTGCGGGAAAACGCAGGAAACGTAAACGCAGGGGCGCTAGCAGGGTTTTCCATCGGCAGCGGTGAGCGTCCAGGGGACGGGTCGCGGAACGCGGCGAGAAACGGGTCAGAAGGTCGTCCTAAGGTCATAGAGTCTTTAGGTTGAGGTGCTGAAGGCCAGGCTGCCCAGCCTGTGGGTTCTGGAGAAGCTCCCAGGGGCTGATGGGAAGGCGAATCCAAGCCAGAATCCTCCACGTTCTCAGGAGAAGATGAATCAGAAGAAAAAGCAGCGTCTGTCAGGATGTTGGAGAACGAAAATACAGATAGAAAGACAGAAAGAAATTGACAATATTTTACACGCAGTCTCGATAAACTAAACATAATAAACTAAATGAAAAATAAAACCTTCTGCTATTAACATGAGCAATACGGCAGCACCAGAAGCAGGGCTGCACGGCCGGGGTTGTGATCAGGCCTGTCACAATCATTACATTTTAGCTGATGATTAGTTGTTGTTTGAATAAGTGCGATAAATTTAATTTTAGGCATTTAATACAGTAAAAGCAGCGAACTCTAAAGCAGCTAGATTAGCTTAGTAGCAAACTTGCTAAGCTAGCTCTTTATTTTGCAGCAAACAAGAGATGATACACCGCACTGTACTTTGCATACCAAGCATCTACAGCTATAGAGAGTCAATCAAAGCTCACATTTGTCTCTTGAAAGAGTGAAAATATGAGCAAAAAACACTTGTTCTGCAAGGATACATGCTACAAATTAGCATTAAATTAAAATTAACGAACAAAATTAACAAAATGTTACGCTTACATGTGTTTTAGCACACAGTTACAAAGTAGTACTTTAAGGTAGAACTAGAAAAGTTAGACGTGATTTCGTTTTATTTACATTTACTTGGCTCGAGCCAACCAATGACTCACTATATGCTTGTTGCGATACAATATGATTGTGATATTGAATGACTACGAAAAATAATTGCAGTCAGATTAAATACTTGAGATTATCTCAAATAATTGCGATCAGGCAATTATGTACTAATTGTGATAGGCCGAGCTGCGAGGGCGTTTCTGCAATGAACAGATCGCTAAGGGTTGGGATGACAGAACGGATCAAATTACATTATATAACATTATACATGTATAATTAGATTGGCAGGAAAGTAGCATTAGATCTTAAGTCTAATATTAAAACAGCCAAGTGCTTCTCTAAGGAAGTTTTAACCCCAGTTGCCCACGTGTAGAGCGAATGACTTAACCACTTTGCTATAGAGCCAAAACAACACTCTATAAAACTACTCTACCTTTCACTGCGTGAAACAGTGCTGTGGTACAACACAAGGGCATCACAGTAAGGAGCTTTTAAAGGAATTAAACACTTGTTTGTTTTATGTAGACTGTTTTTTTTTTCAATAGCCTTAAAGGGCAGAAAATGTGGTGGCAATTATGAGTTAAGTATTTAATTATTTAGTAATTAGTAATACTAATTAATTATTAGTATTTAATTATTTGTAATTTGCACTTAGAATAATAATGAATGTTGTATTTTCACTATTTGCTTAAAGGAGAGGTGAGTTAGGATTTCTGTTTAAATATGCAGGGAATAAAATCAGAGCCTGTACTTGTTGCAAACCCAGTCACATTATTTGAACCCATAATTTATCGCTTCTCATAGCACCATATCAAACATCACAATTTATGACATATTATGCAGCCATAAGCAGAGGTAGCAGATCTAATGGAAAACAAAGCTTTACAAAACATAATCCATCACCAATCCAAAACTGTACCCATAAATTCACAAGTCATGAAATAACGCACACTCCACACTATTCAGAAGGCACGTTAATTAGGTTTCAGGAGCTCAGTAATGCTCACTTTGGCCAGCGCTGCACACATTACGTACGGCTTATTTACTGCATTTGCTGTAGCGCTTTCACGGTTTAATTTCTCTGTTCTGTACAAAAAGTGCAGAGGAGAAAGAGAGAAAGTGTGTGTACTCTGCCCTCATCAATCAGGATAATGAGACTGAGGTTTACATTCGGAGGAAGGGAAGGTGCTCTGGAGCTGCTCGCGTCCAGCAAAGCTGTGGGATTTGAAGGCCGATTCTAGAGGAGGACCGAACAGACAGTCGGAACCAGAAGCTGTGGAGCTCAGCCTGAGAGAGAGAGAGAGAGAGAGAGAGAGAGAGAGAGAGAGAGAGAGAGAGAGAGAGAGAGAGAGAGAGAGACCACATCAGTGAGGGTCCATGGGGGTCCTGACCACCGACGAACAAGGTAAAAGGGGGCTAACAAAGTATGCAGAGAAACAGATGGAATACAGTCTGTAACTGTAGAACTACAAAGTGCACCTATATAGTAAGTGGAGCTGATAAAATGGACAATGAGCATAGAAACAAGGAGGTGGTCATAATGTTATGCCTGATCGGTGTATAATTAGCTTACTATCTTTTAATGCCTTAAGTTTAAATAGATCATAACATAATCCTTCTAATAACATAACAATTAATAACATAATCCTAAATATCTAAGCTCTAAATACTTCATTCTTTTTTTTATTTGTTATTTTATTTATTTTTTTGCTGTGGGCCCACAGTTTAAACTAATTCAGTAGAACAGTCCATATACTAAACGTCCTTCTTTCTGCTGTTGTCCTGTTTCTCTGTCCTTATCTGCGTACCTGCTGTGGTCTGGGCTGGAGGTGGACCTGCGCAGACCCTCCTGTTCTCCTTCTACAACACAGAACACATTACAATAATTACAGCCAGAGAGAAAAGCATAAATAGAAAAGAACAGAAAGAAACAACATTACTATACTTTAGGTTTTATTAGCCCATTCTAAACATAGTCATATGCAAAATTTGGGCACTCCCTGGTCAAATGACATGTTTTATTGATTTGAATATAAATAAGTTAACACACCCTCTACACTCTCAGAAATAAAGGTACTAAACTGTCACTGGGGCAGTGCCCCTCTTGTCACTGGGGTGGGACCCTCAATGGTCCATCTCAGTTCCTTTAGTCAGGGGACATAACTGAACCATAATCCACTGAAATGATATGTTCTAAGCTGTACTGACTCCACACACCCCGTCTCGTCTCCAGGCTTTTATTTTACTGTTCTGTTTTAAAACATTCTGTTATGAAAAGGTACAAATACGAACTTTTCACCTGGACAAACTTATTTAAGGTTCACAATCAGACCTTAAAACCACTGTTGTACCTTTGAGGGAACATTTACACTGTTTGTACCTTGATGAATGAAAATGTACCTGAACAGAACCTTCATTTCTAACAGTGTACAGAGAACACCCTTCTGCATGTGTTAATACAAATTACTGTTTATTTGCTGAATTTAACATACTGGGAAAAAATAAAACACAAAATGTGGCCTGTGCAAAAGTTATGGCACACTTTATATTTTGCATTCAATATAGGAAACTCAGCAAATTAACAGAACTTTTATTTATTTATTTATGTGTGTTCTCTGTAGAGGATGTGTTATTTCTAAGTTATTTTCACTTAGAAAGCGCATAATTTGACCCGGGGTGTTCAAACTTATAACATATGACTGTATACACTGTGCTACAAAACATGAACTCTAATCACAACCAAAAAATAACATTATGTTGTTAGTTACAACAAACATCCTGTTACAACTGTTACATCACACCATGTCAACAAGTCAGCACCGGAAAACAGCACTCTTCATCATCATCATCATCATCATGGCACTATACGACAGGCAGGCATCACCAGAGGCTTTAGCAGCGAGGCGGAGGCTTACACAACCACATTACTGAGGCACTCAGCATTACGTCACCTGAATTTCCCTCCACTTTTATTATAACCATCAAATCCCACAGCGCAAAAATAGGGCCTGATCTGACACCATAATTACAGCAATCAGCCACATCGCTGATCCCAGAGCAGCTTTTCAGAAGGTGCGCTGTGTGAGTCACAGCCTTACACTCATTATCTTCTTCAATAACTGCTTCAGTTAGCTATTGATGAGGTAAGGTTACAGTCTGAGGGTCAACCTGACCTGTTCAACTAATCAGGCTAAATTAGTTACACAGGTAGGAACATCCTTTATTTATTTAATAATAACAGCATCACAGTGAAGACGATTAGGACCAAAATGTTAAAGTTGCAATGAGTGGGTCTCTCAATTTAAGTTCATAATAAAATAAAAGTATTAAACAAGCAAATATTACATGCTGGTTGTTGGTGTTCATTGCTAATGGCCACAGCAGTTGGGGCTAATCGGAAGGCTGCACTCTTAAAATAATGAATTCTATATAATACCAACAAAAGGTTCTTACTCGTAGCAACAGTAGAACCTCTTTCGGTGTTACACAGAACCAGTCTTTATAACGTTCTTTAACACAGCAGGTTTCCCATTATAGGGAAGAACCATTTAACCATGCAAACAAGCAACAAACTGCATTCAGGTGGTGCTTTAATAAGTCGTATGCAAAAGTTTGATGAAATTACATGTTTTATTGATTTTCTGTGTAAAGCAAAGTAAAGAAAAGAAGCTCTGAACATTGTACCAAATACAGTGGTATGCAAAAGTTTGAGCACCCCCAGTCAAGTAACATTTTGTTGATTTTAAGTGAAAAGAAGTTAACACATCCTCTACAGAGAACATCCTGCTTATTTCAGGGCACAATTTCTATTTATTTGCTTTAACGTGTCAGAAAAAATTTAAAACTAAACATAAAATAAAACTTTTGCTCAGGCCACATTTTACGTTTGACTTTTTTCAAATATGTTAAATTCAGCTAATAAACAGTAATTGTGAATTGGTTCTCTGTAGAGGATGTGTAACATATTTACACGGAGAAAACACCACCGGTTATCAGTGCACTGATCAAAGATTGCGAGGATAAACGTGTTCTTATCAGATATAGAGCCCTCCTTAACCAATCAGGATGTGTGGACAGAACTAGCTCATGGCTGACAGTGCCTGCTTACCCCTGTGGGGGGCGCCATCTCCCTCCCCCTCAGACCGGCATGCTGTACTGGAATTCCCTGAGACAGACAGAGAGAGAGGAGAGGTGAGAAAATCCACACAAACTCTCCTTTCTAGCACAGTCGACGCTAACACAGCCCTCGCTGTGTGAGAGGAACAGACAGACACAGGAGAGCTGAACTTACTGGACAGATGCCTCTTCATTGACACCTTCAGAAGAGAGGAAAGAGGAGAGCACAGTCAGAACCGCCAGCCTCATTTTTCCAGCATTCAAAACATTAGACTTGCACATTAGACAACGCACGTAAACCACAACAAAGCACCCGACACAAGGAACTGAAGCATCAGCCACAAGAAGCCCTGCTTCACAGTGACTGTGCCAGGCGTAAAGGGGAATTCCACCTTTCCAGTCTGAAAATGTCATTCAGAGTGGTTTAGTGCAAAATGGTCTGTTCTAGAGAAACTTACTGAGTAGAAACTGTTCACAGTGGTGGTGATAGGAACCAGACGCCTGAAGAGATTAATGCCTTCATTACAGACAGTTCTAATGTGAACTGGTTGTGAATACACTGCCTGAAGCCTAAGACACTGTTTCTGAGACAAAGTTTAGACGTGAAACATATGCTTTATATACATTCACAGTGGAAAGGTCGTTGTAAGCCAAATTCAGGGCATGAGGAAACACAACACCCAAAGAAAATATACTTTTACATGTACTACTATTTTACCATTATCAAGATTATATATAAAACACAGGTCTGAATAGTATATAATAGTAATAGTCGTAGTAATATATAGTAATAATTGTCAACATCAGGACCCCTGGTTCCTATCACCACCTCTGTAAGCGTCTCTACAATGAACCGTTTCATATCAAATCACTCTAAATGACTATCTACATCAGAAATAATAGAGAAATCAGTGGGATTCCCCTTTAAGGGGTGCTGTTAGATGCAAAGGTGAGATTCTTAATAACTTGGTGAATTATATCAATTATATCAAGTTTTTAAAAATGCAGATTCTAGCTGTTAAAAAGGATGCATATTATTTCAAATTGTGGCATACAACTTAAATAAATAAATCAATAAACAAACAAATAAATGTAAACTACAGGCCTATTAAGACTGTACTGAGAAACAGTAAAAATGTGCTTATAACTCTTTGTAATTTGGTAACGCTATTGTAAGCGTACATATAAACGCAAATAATTCCCCATAAGCCTGTAATAATGTCCTATTATTCATTTTTTGATGCCTTATAAACACGTTATAACACAAGTGTCACTATTCCTTATAATGCCTTCAATCCGATAATGACCTGTACATTAATTATTGAGCACTTAAAGTATTTAACAGTTACAAAAGCGCTCTGAATGTTTTTCGATGCCATCACTGACTGCTTCAAGTAAAATGACTGTACTTTATGTTATTCACATTTGAATGTTAAACGAGTCTGTCAGTGTGTCTGTCAGGGTGCACTCTGCTCTATAATGTGCTGTCTATATTGTATTATCGCAGAATCAGCTGCAAAAGCTTCCTGCCTTGCAAGGTTAAGTGTCACTTCTGTATTCTGCTCATATTTGGACTCTATAGAACAAACAAACATTCAAAACAAATGTTCTTACTGTACAAATCAACTGTGTTTTTTCATAAAGTTCATAGTGGGGAGGGCAAAAAATATTAGGCCACAACACTTCAAGACAGTAACCCACAGCTACAATGATGTTTATTCAATATTTTATAAACTGCGCTGCATAAAAATCCAGTTAAACAGACTTAATTATGCTCCTAATTATGCTCACACTGTAACGCAATGTAGTTCGTTTTCTGTAGTACTGTACTGATAATATCCAAGATATGCTCAGAAAAGCATCTTGTGACATAATTTATCACAATAACGGTAATACACCGTCATATTGTCCACCCCTTGTTCATAGTACCTTGTATTTATAACCAAGAATAACAAATTATCAATCACTTTACTTAAAGCGCTCAGTAAAGGCATTTTAAATGTTTACAATTATAACATTATATACATGTCATATCCATTTAAAAGGCACAAAAATGAACAGTGACACTTGTGTTATTACATGTTTATAAGTGACCAAAGAATTATTATTTCATTATGAGAGTATTATGTGGTGCTGAAGTCAAGTTACAAAGAGCTATAGGCACATTTGTAATGGCTTAAAAAACTTTGTTAGGCTCCACCCCCTCCCTTACCCCTTGGTTGGGCGGTAGGGTCAGCGCCCCCACGGTGGCCTTCAGCTCCAGCTCATTGGCTGCTGAGTTGCTACGGTTACTGCTGGCCACGGGGCGGATCTGAATGTGGAACTTCTTCGGCTCCTCGTCATCAAAGTCCGAGTCACTGGAGTAAAAATTGGTCTCCTTCTCCTCCGCACAGCGTAAACCGGAGAGGACCGGTTAAGGATGGTACAGGTTTACTGACGTCTGCACACGCAGAGGTGTGCAGCGTTTACCTCCTTATTAAGGCCTGAGTGACGTTTCAAACAGAAACACTCGGCCTATCAAAAATGGATCAATTAAAAGCTCATTTAAGTGTTTAAACTGTTTTAAATAGTTAAAGTGAGTGTGCAGCTCCTCCCAGAGTGCTGGAGCGTCAGTGATTGTGATCGTGTTAGTGAGATAAGGTATGAGAGAACAAAGCTGTTTAAAATCCAACATCCTCCAGCTAACCTTTAACACAGCCTGCTTCCTGCTGTTGCTGTACCAACACAGTTGGGTGGTGTGTGTGTGTGTGTGGTTATGCATGATTTATGAGTGTGTGTGTGTGTGTGTGTGTGTGTGTGTGTGTGTGTGGCAGTAAAGGCTATGTCAGCATCCAAAACCATTTTATTGTTCTGTTCTATTGTGTACTTTTATAGGTTTATGAAAAGAGACCTAAAGGGCAGAACACAAAAAACAAACAAATAAACTAATTCACACCCTCTTCTCCGGCCCTGCTGGAATCAGTTTTTGCTGACTCACTTTTTATCACCGCTAAAAGAAAGCCGTTTACCAACATAACACATGCACAAATTAAGTCAGGCAGGATTATATTGTTTTCAGTCTGTTTCTATGTGTGTCATAGTAATAATAATAATAATAATAAACATTACAGCTCATTATAAGGTTCCCAAAACTCTGATTCTTTTCTTAAGCATCTGGAGATACATTAGAAACAGTAATTTTACTCATCAGTTGGTTGAAGGAAAAAATCTCTACAATTTCACCAAATTCCCCCAAACAGCCCGAATTAAAAGGCAAGAGTCCAGATGTTCATGTTGATGTAAAACTACACACACTGCAGATTCATACTGGATTAAAATCACTCCACAGTTATTACCATCAGACTGTAAAAACTACACACACTGCAGATTCATACTGGATTAAAATCACTCCACAATTATTACCGTCAGACTGTAAAACTACACACTGCAGATTCATACTGGATTAAAATCTCTGCACAATTATTACTGTCAGACTGTAAAACTACACACACTGCAGATTCATACTGGATTAAAATCACTCCACAATTATTACCGTTAGACTGTAAAACTACACACTGCAGATTCATACTGGATTAAAATCTCTGCACAATTATTACTGTCAGACTGTAAAACTACACACACTGCAGATTCATACTGGATTAAAATCACTCCACAATTATTACCATCAGACTGTAAAACTACACACTGCAGATTCATACTGGATTAAAATCACTCCACAATTATTACCATCAGACTGTAAAACTACACACTGCAGATTCATACTGGATTAAAATCACTCCACAATTATTACCGTTAGACTGTAAAACTACACACTGCAGATTCATACTGGATTAAAATCACTCCACAATTATTACCATCAGACTGTAAAACTACACACTGCAGATTCATACTGGATTAAAATCACTCCACAATTATTACCGTTAGACTGTAAAACTACACACTGCAGATTCATACTGGATTAAAATCACTCCACAATTATTACCGTCAGACTGTAAAACTACACACACTGCAGATTCATACTGGATTAAAATCGCTCCACAATTATTACTGTCAGACTGTAAAACTACACACTGCAGATTCATACTGGATTAAAATCACTCCATGAGAGAGAGACAGACAGACAGAGAGAGAGAGAGTGTTAAGGATATCATTTTGATTGACATCAGCACGGATCACAAATCCCTCATCGTCCACCTCCAGGGGTGAATTCTAAACACAAACACAAAAACAGAACCATTAGAAAGGGAGACGTAATGAAGCTGTATTTAGAGTTTTCTCTCCACGGTCAGTAAAATGAGGACAACTTTATAGGTCTAGATCTACGTTCTACATCGTTGCTATGGCTGAGACTAAAACAAACAGCAGGGGAACAGCACTGTGGAGTGGTAGTGCTAGAGTCTGAGAGACCCTGATTACAGAAACGTGTGTGTGTTTACAGTAACCCTGATGTCTGCTAATGACACGAGTGTGTTAAAAAGGGCCCTGTGACAGCCAGCAGATCATCACACTGAGAGAAGACTTAAATATAGCCTGCTGGAGTAACCCGACACAGCGAGGAGCGTCGCTCACACACACACACGCTGCGTTTGTCGCTGTAATGATGACGGGATGAAAATGTGCGTGGAGTGAGGGGAAGACGTGGTGAACGTGTGTGTATGTGTGTGCTAGGCTTAGACTTATTATACACAGGGTCAGTTTCACAGTCTGGGATTAAGCGTAGTCTTGGAGAACATAACATTCCCGAATTTTCCAGTGAAATGTAGCCAAGGACTAGGCTTAATCCCCGTCCCAGAAACCAACCCATACATACCTACATATGGGGCAAGTATTTACATATCATCACTATTCAAAGAAACCTTCTTAACTTTTAATGTAAATTAATGTAAAAAGAATTTATTCCAAGCAATTCCGAAGCAATTCTATTAATATTTTTATCATGAAATTTTCACACAAAATAGATGACAGCTGAGAAAATGAAGATGTTTTTCTTTGGACAGCTATATATATATATATATATATATATCTATATATATACATATACATATATATATATATATGTGTGTGTGTGTGTGTGATTATTATTGTATTGTATGTAATATTATTATTACTACATATAGATATTTACAAAATCCATACTACAAATGGGACCCATTGTTATGACATATACACATATATAATACAACTGTGACATTAAAGCTTTAACCTCCAAACTAGTAACTATACTGGAGAAGGCAAAAAACCTTTGAAGCTTTGTATGTAAGTTATTCATTTCATAGCATTTGTTTTGAAGCATGATACTACAGTTCATCAATATGTGTACTTACACACGTGGAATATAGTATTACATATAGCTACTTATGCATTTTGCTGTCTGAACAAAACCTTTTTCAAATGTTTTTCATTTTTGACGTTTGAAAATACCAGCTGCCCTTTATACTGTGTGAACATTTCACAACAAATGGAGCTCCAAAAATACTCAGAGTAATCTTGTTCCATTAACTTTCATTCAAAGTTCAGAATGTTTTGTTGTAAACATTCATATATAAAGCCTGGGAAGGCTTCAGACTAAATGTTGGAACATTGCTGTGAGGATTTGACAGCATTGAGCCAGTAGAGCATTAGTGAGGTCAGCTACTGATAATGGATGATCAGTTCTGGATCACAAATGTCACTCCAGCTCCTCCTAAATGTAATGGATGAGGCTCCACCGTTACAGACAATGCGGTTCCACTGCTCAATGCCCAATGATGGGGGGCTTTATAACTCTCTTGCTGACGCTTAGTCTGCATGGTGACCTCCATGCAGCTCAAGCGTGTCCCATTCTATTGGCAATGATGTTCTATTATACAAGCTTTGTGTGCATCTGAACTCCAGTGTCAGCAACGGGTGCACCTTAATGAAGCTGAATTCACTACGTAAAATTAGGCAGAGGCAATATATAGAAACAGATGCATGAAAACATGTGTGGGTTTAAGACTTACTGGTGCATCCGTCAGTGCAGAATCCCTACAAAAACAACAACAACAACAACGGTTATTTACAACACCCTGGACAGACAACAGCACACAAACACCGCATAATAAAGCAGCGCTGGTTTGGCTCGCAGTTCGAGTGACTAGGCATGTGGGTGAGTGAGAGACTCACGTGGAGTCCGGTTCTTTGTCCCTCTTGCCCAGGCCGGGTATTCTGAAGGCTTTAGCGCGGCTTTTCTTGTTATTGTCAGGCAACTGAGAAGACAGGTATTCCTCAAATCCCACAGGACCTGGTAAACATGCACAGGCACACACGTCAGACCCTTTACAAAAATGAACACCAAAGGCATATTTTTGCACATATATTTATGTGGCAGTGCCAGTTTTCTTCAAAAATAAGACATCTGTGACCTCATTTCTTGAAAAAGATTCTGTCATAAGAAAGACAGTAATTATAGGAAAACAGTAATTATATGAAAAGGTAATCTTTATAACATAAAACCTGGTTTTAAGTTTGCTTTTTTTAAAGATTCTTAATTAATTCATCATGAAATAATATCACAATCTAAAGAGCGGCTGGCATTTCTGAGTGGCACAAAATGCAGGTTTTCTTATGTCAGTCAGTGACACGCAAACAAGGTGCTGATTAATCATAACTAGATTTTTCATTATTTACAAACCAAATATACTATTTAAAAGCATTTTTACTACATTAAACCAGCTTTTCTTAAGAAATCATGGAATTTTCCTTCCTTCGCTGCTGTAACAGCTTCTAGCCTTCTGGAAAGGCTTTACACTTGATATTGGAACATTGCTGTGAGGATTTGATTGAGCATTAGTGAGGTCAGGTACTGATGCTGGATGATCAGCTCTGGATCACTCCAGCTCATCCTAAAAGTACTGGATGGAGCTCCATCAGTTCCACTACTCCACAGCCCAATGCTGGGGGTCTTTATACCCCCTCTAGACCCATTTTATTGGCAACGCTTTTCTATGGGGATTAAACAAGCGGTGTGTAAAACTGGACACCTGCGTCAGCAACTGGTGCATATTAAAGTAGATGAATTCACCAACCACTAATGTTTTAATATTTTGGACTTGTGTACACATCTAGCTGTCAGTAGACGGGTCCACAGTACCTGGCCGGTCTTTGCCCGTGCCCTTCTGCTCTGTGAACTTCTGAATTAAGCTCCCAATGCCAATGTTCTCCACGTTCTGCTTGAATTCCTCATGAACCTGGGAGGAGAAGGGGGAAGGAGACAGAGGCAAATTTAGCTTAAGCAGCTTGACCAGTTTTATGAGCTGCAGGCATTGTATTGTCTGTATTTAAATAAGAGGATATTGTAGTTTTATAATGATTATTTCTCACTCGCACTGGAGCTCACTGAAGTCTCTATTCTGATATTTCGTCCAAGACCAAGTACTCATGGGAGCTCTAATCAAATACGGGTTGTAGTCAATCATAATGATTTATCCATAAGCTACAATATCATAGTGTGTACTAGGGGTGCGGGAAAAAATAGATTCTTAGATGCATCACGATGCGGACGTGAACGATTCTGAATCGATTCACAAACGTCAAAAAACGATTTTCTAAATATTTAATTTAGAACGTAACGTTGACGGAACGCAAAAGGCGGAACTTGGAAGTGGGTAAGTGCAGCGCCCGGACAGTCTGTGGCGGCACATAACAAAAACACTACTGGATGAGCGAGAAATCTGACCGGCTCCCTCTGCATTAAAGCCAGGTTAGGTCAGGAGTCACAACACAAATGTTAAGCCACAACAGTTAATGTCCAGTATGTCTCAGTATGTGCGAATGTTCTAGTATAAGTTAGGTTAAAAATATAAACAAAAGCGTGGACTTAAGCTTTAAGCTTTAGCTATAGCCGCTTTCCTCCCGTCTCCACCAGAAAACTTTTCCTCTAAAGTAGATCAGTTTCTTGTAAAATGTCTTTCACTGTTCAACTGTTTTCCAAGGCTGAAGTCGCTTCTCATTCTCCAGCTTCTTTTTTTCGAATTTTCCAATTCCACCTTAAATTCTGACTGAGGCGCCGAATGTAAATACGGCACCATTTAAGGTGGAACAGGAAAATTCGAAAGAGAAGCGACTTCATCTTTTGCGATTGACAGTCTCTCGTTGCAGATTTAACTTACCAGGAATCAACTGCAGTGCTTATGAATGCGAGTCGTTGCTATGTGACCTGCAGTCTTATAACGCCAATTCTCAGTAGTTGTAAAACAGGGCTTTCGCTATGCTGCACACGTCCCGTTTAGAAGATATTTTACTGACACTTTAGATGCTTTGTAGATACTTAATTCACTTTGAAGTTACATTCAACTAAATATCTACTAAATTGACCACAATCTTCTTTAACTCTAATCCTAACCTTAACCTCAACCCAAATCCTAAACCCAACCCTCACCTTGGTCCTAACCTTAACCCTGGTCCAAATCCTAACCCCAACCCCACCACTGTTTAGAATCAACTGAGTTTCAACAGATAGTTTGTTAACAATTTGAACATCTGTAGATAATCTATAGGGCTCTATGGTGGACTATCCAAATAAAGTTAGACGCCAGCCACTAGCTAGGTCTTCTTCTATCACGCGATGCTATCAAGCTGGGAGTGTGAAGGCCTTCCTTCCTATTTTGCAAAGCGCCGCTAACACAAACTAACTGGGCAGCTCAACACACGCGTAGAAAAACACTAACAGGCCAAATCTGAGGACCAATGGAATATACTACTAAATAACTATGCAGCACACAAAGCAATTAAGTATGCGATTACATTCAAGTAACTACCTAAAGTAAAACGAATGGAGAACCATGCATCTAAATTACTGCAGTAAAGAAGATACAGAGATCAAATTCAACCAGGACAATGTATTAAGTCCAACCTGAGTCGACATAAATCTCCAAAACTTTTGAAAGCATCAGAAAAGCTCTGACGTGAGAGGTGTGCGCTGATGCAGGGCTCTTACCTGTCCCACCTGCACGTGTGTGTCCTCGATAGAGTGTGAGTAGCCTTTGATCAGCTGCTTCATCTGCCGTAAGTGAGCCTCTTCAATGTCCTGGAACTTCTGCATAGAGGGAGATGAGAGCGCTAAGAAAGGACCCTCCATAAAACAGGTTTAAAGCAATCACTGATTATTGATGTTACATCAGAATCTAGGTTTATTCCATTTTTCCCCACTTTATACTTCACCAAATGTTTGGGGTTTTATTTCAGTTGTTTTTATCCTTCGTTATGTTTGTGTCTCCAGTTACCTGTTCTAATAATTCTGTGAAATACTTCGTAAACTTGCTTTAAAGAGATGCTACATACATAAAAAAGTAGATATTTTAGTGCTGGAAAATGATTAACACTACTAATTTCAATTAACGCAATAGTTTGTGTAGTTTGTCTTACTACATTACAAATTTGTCTTACAGTCTAAAATTTGACCCTACAAAATCTTTTTTTCATTTAAATAGCAGTGCATTTTGTTCTAACTATGTGAGGGGACAAACCGACATCCAGTGAGAGCAACAGTGGCTGCATGTTCCCATTTCCAAAAAAGTTGGGATGCTGTGCAAAAAGTAAATAATTAAAAAAAAATTTAATAATGATGTGCAAGTAATTTACACTCTGTATTTAATCGAAAACAGTACAAAGACAACATACCAAATGTTAAAACTGAGAAATTGCACTGTTTTTTTGTAAAATATATGCCTGTTTTAATTTTGATACCAGCAACATGATTCAAAAAAGTTGGAACAGAGGCAACAAAAGAGTGGTATAGTTGTGTAATGATTAAAAAAATTCTGAAACAAAAGCGATAAAGGAGACCCTGAAACCCTGAAAACCTGCAACAAGCAAGAATGGAAAAAAAATTCACTGTCTAAACTACAGCAGTGTCTCCTCAGTTCCCAAAGCTTACAGAGTGCTGTTAAAAGAAGAGCTGATGAAACACAGTGGTAAACAGGCCCCCGTGCCAACTTTTTTGAAACGTGTTGTTGGTATCAAATTCAAAATGGGCACATATTTTTCAAAAAAACAATAAAATTCCTCAGTTTTCACATCTGATATGTTGTCTTTGTAGTATTTTCAATTAAATATAGGATTTACACGCTTTACACATCATTCCATTCTGTTTTCATTTACATTTTGCACAGCGTCCCGACTTTTTTGGAATCAAGGCTGTATATTATATATACAGTCAATGGTTCAACTTCATGACTGCAGCCTCTCGCTCTCATTCATACAGCTTGTGGATTCTTGTTCCAGTGGAGGCTCTTGAGGGAAGCAGTGCTTTTCATTTTATTACTTTTTTTGTTTGCTGTTCATTTGTTAATGCAGGACACTTCACACTTGAGGTTCTTCAGCAATAAACAAATTTACGGCTTGGTAGTAAAGACTGGAAATAACTTTGGTTTTATCAAGTTAGCCATCGGTTTTATCAGGAACTTTCCATTTAAAAGCTTATTTGAATAGAAAGACTACAGTCACGGAGTCACAACAACATGTGAGTGTAAGTGTGGGAATTACGGATGATGTGATGAGTCAAACTAGGAAAACGCATCAATGACATTAAAAACCTTAGTGCCATTATATGTTTAATGTGGTATCACGTTTTAGTGTGCAGGGTTTGAGACTACTATTGAAGTTTAATTTTCTGAATGTTGCGTTTGTTTAAACTGGGTACCTGTTGGAGAGCCTAACCCTAACCCTAAGATAGAAACAAATTAAAAGGGTCAAACACTGACCTCAAATAAAGGTAAAGCCATCTGCTGGTCTATAAACAGAATTAAAACAGCATTAAACTAATAACTGCTTTTAAAAAGGATGTACGTGCAGCATCGGTGTATTACTGAAAAGACACTGCTTTGTTGTGCAAAAGGACGACCCTCAAAAGGTCATAATCATTTCATCGCATAAATATGGTTAAAATCCCTGGTGCTCGTAGTCATGGCAACATTGCACAGCTGGAGCAGCTCTAATGAAGGGCAGAACCCAAAGGCTTATAACTGAGATGAAATGAATCATCAATTGCAGCTCTGATCTCTACACAGAAAGTTTCACTAACGATAAAACATCACAGTAATTTGATGTCACACCAGTTTAATGGCAGCGAAAAAGCTTTAGTTAAAAGCAGGAATATCTTTTATGCTTTTTAAAAGGGAACCTGTACATTTCTCCGTTTACACTGGTTTACACTATCCAGTTTACTGGCAATTCCAGGTTTGTGAAAAACCTCCCGCAGGTTTTCATCTCATTGGCCCACAGCAATATCTGTCTAAGCATTTTTAATTCTGTGACTTCATCCTGACTTCAAGATTTCGAACCCTAGTTCATTACGCAGCATTACAGATCAATATGGATCATGACGCCTTACGCATTATAATGCACTAGGAACTCTGATGCATTATTAAAGCAATGAGCCACGGGAGGCTGTGCGTTACTGTCATTTTATCCCTTCCCTGTGATACAACTGCAGTAGCGCATAGTCCCATATGGCTTATTGCTTTTATATTAAATGGCAGCCAACATACAATATGATAAAATACACAATGTTTCAGAAAATAATTTATTATTATTAATAATAATCAACATCAACAAGTATTCCTCCAAAAAATGTAGCTCCTTTAGAGTACGGTATCGTTGCTAAACAACCATGGACCACTGAGTGAGATTGTTCAGTACAACTGTGAACATGTGATAACACAACACTGTTTAATGCAAAAACTTTCGCTTTCTAAGGACTTTTTTAGTCACCAAATTTCCACTGAGAGTCTTATTTAGCACCAATCCAGCAGCGCCCCTCTTCTCGTGCTGGGGCTGAATCTCAAATGGCTCCCTGCTCCCTACATAGTGCACTACGTAGGGATTTAAATACTGGATCCTGCAGCCCAACAGTGCAAAATATAGCTGAGAAACAGTCATTTGGGACTCAGACTCATCCACACTCGATAAATGATGCACTGTTTGGCTGTAGAGGCTAGAATTTCTAAACCTTCATAGCTAGAACACTATTCAGGGAGTACGAAGCCGTTTGGGATTCAGCCTGGATTTGACACCACTTCTGACTGAAACACGAACATTCAAAGCGTGTAAAACATTTTTAGACGTTTATACTGCCGTTTAACAGTTAATCAAACTGTAACTACTTTAATTCAAGCCTGTGATATTAATGATGGAGCTGTTTAGGCTGTTGGCTCTTTTAGCCTGTTAGCTAGCTGACCAGCCTAGTTCTAGTTAAGAACACAAGTTGCCCCTCAGTTTAAACAAAAACACAGGTTTTACTTCATCAGTAGACTCGGTGGTCCATGACAGCAGCATGAGAGTCAAACATGAATCCATTAACAGCACAAGGGTTTTTTCGTGCCGTGGCGCAGTGATACTCAATTCAGTGATTGTGAGGCGGTCATAGATGTGCGTATCTTGTGGATTTTACAACGGTTATGAACGTGGCTCAGCCAATCAGATTTTAGGCCCAGAACTATTCTTTTTAGAATTGTATTATGGACTCCAGTATAAGACACTGAGGACTGTGCAGTTTGAATGCATTACAGACTATGGTGCATTATGATGCATTATGAATTCTGGTGCATTAAAATGCAATACAGACTGAAGTAGATTGAGATGCATTATGAATTCTAGTACATCATTGTGCATTATGGACAGTAGTAGGGGTGCAGTAAGGGTGCAGTATGGCTGTATGTTCCTGCTTGTTTTTGGCAAGTCAATCTTCTCCCTGCGGTCTTCCACAGAACAGGAGTCTTAATCATGCTCTGATGATTAATAGTGTGTTCTAGCACTTGCAAAGACCACATTACACCCAGGACCCACTGATACAGCTGAATTGGCGAGGAAAGGTAGCCATTTCTAACACCTATCAGTTGAGGCCAGCCTGCTAAGACTATCTTTAAAAAACAAGCCGCTCATAACTGTAAAGTAGACAAGAGAGGCCATCAAAAACAGAGTTTTAGAAGAGTCTCTGGAAATGGTCAGTTTAGAAGAACTTTTTTTTTTTTTATCTTGTCCGTATCTGGATTTTTTTTTTTTTAATGTTTTTACTCTGTCATTGGACCTTCTGGCCTCATGAACATTAGTGAAAATGAATACTCACTGAATCAGGAGGACTGTGTGGGTGTTTCAGAGACACTGACGCAGCACTGGCAATGTAAACAAGCCATGGCAGCAGGTGTTAGATTTCTTATAGCTTTTATTTTCTGGCAGAAATTGGATTTTAAAACTTTGTCAGATATTGAGTTCCGGAGGTTTAAGTCGAATAAACCTATGGTTTTTAAATGCCACCATCATTTAGTTAGAAAATCTCCACTTTAGCTTTGTGCTCTATATTTTGCATAACATGCATGCTTACAATGTTCTTTATAGAGCATAAAAATAGCAATCATAATAACATAAGATTCTTTTTTCCAGTATTGTTGAGACAGACCCTAACTCTGAAGCAGACACAGAAGCTGAGACATAATTTTATTTTTGTTTTTTTTTTCCTGGGACTTACAGCTGTTTTAACTGATCTCTGAAACCTGACACTGTGTTGTGAGGATGCACTGCAATGTACGCTGTACCACAGAGGCTGCTTTTTTATACCGGCATGATATCTGACCACAGCAGAGAGTGTGTTCAACCAGCTCAGCTCAACAGCCACATTTCTAGAACAATCTGATCTACGCTGGACACAATAAATGTGGTATTAATGTGAGACATGACATCACCCAACATCTCTCAAATTTATGGGGTTCATTTATAAGGGGCTCCCGAGTGGCGCAACCATCTAAGTGTTGGCCGTATCATCAGGAGATCGTGAGTTCGATCCCTGGTGATGCTACAGCCATCCGTGGCCAGGAGTCCAAGAGCATTGGTCTCGCCCTCTGGGTGGGTAGGATGGCCCCCCGTCTTCCCTCAACACTCAGCGCGATGTTAGTCAGCGCAGACATCTCTTAGCTGACGTAACAGACCTGGCGGTTGGCGCCTTTCTCTGAGCGCATACGGCTGTCCAATGATGTTACGTGAGCGGCAGTTAGAAAAAAATGCAGTGGCGCTTCACAGGAAGCCCCTCATAGCGCTGGTGGTATCGTGTGATTGGATATGGGTGGAATTGGATATGACAAAACTGGGGGAAGAGTCTCATTTTTATATATATATATGTATAAAAAAACACAAACAAACAGCAAATGTGTGGGAACACTAGTGTCTTACTATGATTTACATGAAATGAATTAATAAATGAACCACTGATTTGAAACTAGCCGCAAATTAGTTTTTACCATCACTGGGAGCTGAATAGTCACCTGAAACAGATGAATCCCAGAGTAAATCTCAGTAAATCCCAGAGAACACATACCTGTGCAGACTCACTCATCTTCTGCTCAAAATCTCCTCCAGCTCGGTTAAACTTCTCTATTGATGCTGCAAACGACTCTGCTGCCTTCTTAGACTTCAGCTCAGCCTGATCAGGCCATGAAAAATAGGAAACAAATATAATCGTCACAATGAAAACAGAATTAGTGCTGTTTATAGTATGTTGTGCTTATAACTATCCACAGGTTGCACGTGGACACCACACCCTTACATACATACACATTCGACCCAATATATCGCTGCTGTCGGAACAAAACCTCGTATCTCCAAAAAGGTAACTTTACAGGACAAGGAAAAAGTTCTTAACCTTTTAATGTAAGTTGATGGAGAATATTTCTTTTGGATCACTTCTGTTGGTCTGTTCATCATGAAATTTTGAAACAACATAAAGGGCCACTGGCTCTCTCAAATTATGCCAAGAAATGAAAAATGACCAAAATGGAGATACAAGGTTTTATCCCGACAGCTACGATATGTATATTCCATCTTCAACACACACACACACACACACACACACACACACACACACCTTCTCCAGCTCCTTCTGGGGGGCTCCTTCCTTTCGTAGACGTTCCAGGTCCGTACACTTTGTGTGGTAGCCCTCTCTGGCCTTTTGTAACTGTCCGTTCTGCACCTGCAGAGCTTGGACAGCCTCCAGAGTGCCCATCACCTCCTCCTTTGTCTGAGAAACACAGACACACACACACACACATATATAATGTATTATGTATTTGTTTAGCTCCAGACTAATCCAGCCACGATGGAGCAGAGAGTACAGAAGGTCCTTCCTGCCAGCCGTCACCAGACTTTATAATGAACCCACAATGCGTCAAATAAGTTTACAGAACAACCTTAAGCATTTCTGCTTAATAAAAAGTACTCTATTTTATTAAAGTTGTGAGGTCTTGATTCCAATATCACGAGACGTAGTTTTACGAGTTTCAGTTCAACACTAAGTTCAAGAGAAACGTTTTTAGGTGCTTCTTAAAAGTGAGCACTGAGCTTGACTGTCTAATAAAAGGTGAATCGAGCTCCACAGTTTAGAAGCTGTAGAATAACTGAACGAGTCTCTCCATGTTTTCTGCATTTTACAGAAGGTGTTTGCCGAAGGTCACTATCTGCAGATCTAAGATCATAAACAGACAGACACTCTGTGATGTAAGCGGTGCTTTAAGATCATTTAGAGCCTTAAGAACAAGTAGCAGAACTTTAACATCTATCCTGAATGATACAGGCAGTCAGTGCAGCTCTTTCAAAACAGGACTGATCTGATCTCTGTCTGTTCTGTTGTTGTTGGGATCCTGATGCAGTTCGTACGAGTTGTAAAGGATGTACTGTTTTCTTATGAAGTCCAGTTAAAAGATCATTACAGTGATCAACTCCGCTTGTAACAAATGCATGAACAAGTTCCTCTGTGTCGCTCTGAGAGAGAAAAGCCTTTAGTGATACTTCTTAAATGATAAAAGCTACTTTAGTGACTGTGTTTACATGCGGGATAAAACAGAGCTCAGAGTCCAAGATCACACCCAGGTTTCCTACTTCAGGTTTGGTACGTGAAGCTGAAGTTTCTCGTGAAGCAGCTTTTCATTTTTTCGTGATTTAATTGTAGAAAATTGTAGAAGCTAAATAGTTTTCTTTTCCCTTATAACGCTTAAAGGCATAACTATTTCTATTAAATATTTGCATGTAATTTTGAGAACCAAAAAAAGGTCACACATATGCTGGCACACACATATAATGCCATATGGTCTCTATGTTATAATGCATTGCAGACTCTGGGGCATTATGGTGCATAATTCAGAGGTACTAATAATAAACAAATGCATGTAAGAACCAACAAAAAGGGCCACTCAGCTCTCTTTCGCAGGATATTTAGTACTTACAAATGTGACAAAGCATTACATACAGAGACTATGCAATGCTGGAGTCCAGCCCACAGCCTACACACTCATTTTCAGTTTGAAAAAGGAGGGGGGGGGGCGTAGGGGGGTAGCAAAACAGCAAAATAAAAATGCTTCAGAAAACCTGATTGAGAAAATGCCCCAAGACTGCTTTTCCTGTAAACAGATGAAATCTAGCTCTGGACCAAATTACCTTTACTTAGCGATAAATCTTGACCAAAAACCCTAACGTGGCTAATAGATAATGAAAGCAGCAATTAACATTACGCAAGAGTAATTATGTTCATTGGCCTCCAGCTTGCATCAATTGTAGCACATCATTAATATCCTGTTTATCCAAAAGTTTGTAGACGGGTATTAATATTCCTCTATTACTGCAGTAATGCCCCAGTTTATTAGTCAAAACTTCTATGAAGATACAAGCTGTGTGTGCACAACTGAACACCTGTGTCAGCAGCAGCTTCACTTTAAAGCAGCTGAATTCAGTCATTAGAAGAGACCGTTAAAAAAATACATTGTACAGTGTAATTAAATCTTGATTTATATTTGGGAAAATCACCCCAAACGTCTTCTGAACACATGAAGAGCCACATGGCTGGACGCCTATGAGCAGACGCAGGTGGGCAAATTAGTACAGTACAGAGTTGTGACCGTACCTTTCGGTGAACTTTGACCTGTTCGTCGCCGTACTTGTTGATGTCACGGATGAGGTCATTCATCTTCCTCATCAGCTCGAGGTGGCACAGAGCCAACTTATCAGAAGACACCCGGAACACATCCCACATGGGAGCAAATGTGCTGGAGGGAGAGAGAGAGAGAGAGAGAGAGAGAGAGAAAGAGATAGAAATAGAGATAGGTAGAGATAGAGAGAAAGAAGTACACAGAGAGAGAGAGAGAGAGAGAGAGAGAGAGAGAGAGGGAGAGGGAGAGAGAGAGAGAGAGAGAGAGAGAGAGAGAGAGAGAGAGAGAGAGAGCGCGAGAGAGAGAGAGAGAGATAGAGATAGAAATAGAGATAGGAAGAGATAGAGAGAAAGAAGTACACACAGAGACACAGAGAGAGAGAGAGAGAAAGAGAGAGATAGAGAGATAGAGATAGAAATAGAGATAGGAAGAGAGAGAGAGAAAGAAGTACACAGAGAGAGAGAGAGAGAGAGAGAGAGAGAGAGAGAGAGAGAGAGAAAGAGAGAGGGGGGAGACAGAGAGAGACGGAGAGAGAGACAGAACAGAAAAGGAGGAGATCAGAGAATGAGTGAGAGAGAGATCAGTAGCAGAGAGAGAGAGAGAGAGAGAGAGAGAGAGAGAGAGAGAGAGAGAGAGAGAAACAGATAGGTAGAGATAGTGTGAAGAAGTACAGAGAGAGAGAGGGAGAGAGAGAGACAGAGAGATAGAGATAGAAATAGAGATAGGCAGAGAGCGAGAAAGAAGTACAGAGAGAGAGAGAGATAGAAATAGAGAGAGATGGAGAGAGAGACACAGAACAGAAAAGGAGGAGAACAGAGAATGAGTGAGAGAGAGATCAGTGATAGAGAGAGAGGGAGAGAAAGAGAAAGATAGAAACAGAGACAGGTAGAGATAGCGAGAAAGAAGTACAGAGAGAGAGAGAGACAAAGAGAAAGAGAGAGAGAAAAAGAGAGAGAGAGACAAAGAGAGACGGAGAGAGAGAGAGATGCAGAAAAGAAAGAAAAAAAATATATACACCAAATTTAGCGCTAAATCTTTCCGACCACACGGCAAAGCAGTCTGGGTTGACCGCTCCGTTTCACATTATTAAACAGCTATAATAAAAAGGCCAACAGTGCTCTGCTATAGCTGAATATGAATATGTGATGAAGCTGACATAGTAAGACCAGTAACCAGCTTAAACAGTCTAGATGAATGAGGGTCCACTATTCGGCAAACAGGTCGTGCTGTCTCTAAGTGCTTATTAATGATTGTAAGATGTTTATGACCCAATTAATAACCAGTAATAAAGTAATTTTAAACCATGTATAAACTGAGGGTCGTCTCACTCTAGAATGGTACCACATTAGGTAATACAAAGGAGGAGCATTCATAGGACAGAGCTACCGAGGACCCACCCTTCTCAGCTGCAGCCTAGCTTGACGTAATCAATGAAGGACTGATTAGATACACTCGGCACTGGACGGTAACTTTAAATAATGGACTTCTATACTCACTGACACACACAACCACAATAAATACACATAAATTGTTTATTTATGTGTATTTATTCTTATGCTAGTGTTTCTACTGCAGCCCTGTTGACTTTTTATAGTGTGCTGAACGTGTTTAGAACAGAAAATAAATGGAAGTGTGAAGGTTTATTATCAACGCTTCCCCATAAAGCAGTTCAGACTTCAGATTCGACCTACACTGAGCGTGCACCGTGCATGCATGCATACAGCAATATGGAGCAAACAGGAAGTTCAGAATGCAGATAACATGAAGAGAGGAAGAACAGACCGCAGTCATGACCTTTCAACCAATCACACATCCATGCACAGACACTTCCTGAGGCAGTCGCTGTGCTGTACCGAGAACGGTCCACTTCCTCCACAAACACGTACTGTCCACACTGGCAGGCAAGAGAATTCTACCAATATTTCTGCATGATTCAGCCTTTGAGATGTAAACAAAGTCATTCAGACTGGTTTGGTGTGAAATGGTTCACTGTAGAGAAACTCAGATGTCTTTACAGTGGCGGTGATGGGAACCAGGGGTCACAATGTCTACAACACAAATACAGACATTTTATTTGCCATCTAAAACCAATAGTGAACCTAGACGTGTCTTCTGAGTTTTCATATACAACAATAATGGTGGTAAAAGAATAGCGAAAGGGTGAAATAGGTTTTCTTTGGGGACTATTTTGCCTTAGAACGCCCTGCATGTACCCCTCCACCATAAATGGACGTATAAAGCCAAAATCTTATGTCAAAACTATCAAAACACTGTCTCAGGCATCAGGCTGCATATTCATAACCATTTCATGTAATAGCTTCCTATGATGTACCTTTTATAGAGGCATTAAACTCTTCAGACGTCTGGTTCCTATCACCACCACTGTGAACAACTGAAGATGTAAACAAAGTCATTCAGAGTGGTTTGCTGTGAAATGGTTCATTGTAGAGAAAATAAGTGACTCAGATTTCTTTACAGTGGTGGTGATAGGAACCAGGGGTCACCATGACTACAAATATAGCCACTTTTTTTACTGTCCGAAACCACCAGGGAACCTACATGTGTCTGAGTGTTTATATGTAAAGTTGATGAAAGTAAAATAGTGGTGAATCTGGAAAGTCAAGGTTTTCTTTGGAAACTGCCTTAGAATGCCCAACATGTAACCCTCCACCATAAATGGATGTTAAAATATAAGCATAAAGCCAAAATCTTATCTCAGAACTATCATAACACAACGTCTCAGGCATCAGGCAGGTTATTCATTACCACTTCAGGCAATAGCTTCCTATGATGTACCTTTTAGAAGCATTAACCCTTGTGTGGTGTTGATGTGTTTGTTACTCAGTGGTCTGGTGCACCCACCGCATTATAGTTTTTAAATCAATACAGTCATAACAATTTATGTAAAAATACCAGATGTTTAAAACATCACAAGTGTCCAGCGTAGGGTTCTCCTTTAGCAGCTGTAGCCAGTCAGCAGCCTGTCCATGCTGTCCACCCTCTCACACACAAACATTTACAAACACATACACACGCAGACACACACACACACACACACACACACACACACACTAACAGCAGGCCATGTAGGAGGAGAACAGAGTGAAGGACACAGCACCTCCACACTTTTATTCCCCGCAGGTTCACCCAACACCACATGTGTAATATAAATGTGTGGGGGGTGAACAGAGTGAAGACACTGAAAATGGGTTATTTTATATGTTCTTCACAGAAAATGAGCAAAGACCAAGAATCTGAGGTTGAAATAATAATAAATCATCATTTTTTCTGAAAATGGGTCCCACAGACCTGAACACCACACAAGGGTTAAACTCTTCAGACGTCTGGTTCCTACCACCACCACTTTGAACAATTCTGAGTCTGTTTCTCTAGAGCAAACCATTTCGCACCAAACTGTTCTGAATGACTTTTAGCATTTAATTCATGCAGAAAGTTTGGAACATGGGTGGAGTTACCCTTCCGCTTCTGAGCATTACAAGCTCCAGTCAACTGTGTGATTGATGAAGATGAAGATGGGGATGTCACTTACCCAAGCGGGCTTCCATTGCTGGCCATCTTGGCCAGTTTGCTCATGGATTTGGAGTAGGTCTCCTCAACTGCAGCCCTGATGCAAACACACGCTTGTATTAGCCAAATATTCAAACAAAACCAGACAACTACTGTACTGTGCAAAAGTTAGAGCGCACCATTCATTTAATTTCCAGTCAAAACTGCCTTTAAGTACAAGTTATTAATTTTTTCAGAATCAGGAAACATGTTTATTATAGCTTTCACTCTTGTTAGGAGACTCATTTTCAGTTTTTCATGGACATTCGCAGGAATATTTTCCCACACCTTCAAAGTTCAGTCTTAGAAGTTGGTTTTCCATATTTTCTGTCATGTCTTTACATCCCTGTGCACAGACTCATGGGAAATGCAGTCCATATATGGTTTACTGCAGCGGACTGAGCTCCACTTTTCTAATGTTCAAGACTAAAGGATAAATGACTACTAGAATGGCGGAGTTATTTTGCCTGAATTTTAAATGCTTATTTATATCACAACAGAGTAATAAAAAAAAAATAATAATAATGTCATGTTAGGATACGTCGGAACATCAGAATGAATTTAAACTGAGCGTTGATTATTCTTTAATAACTATTCTACAACTATTTTTCAGTTTTTGATATAATTTGAAAATGCCTGTTGCTCTTTACATTGTGTGTACATTTCATGATGAATGGACCAAAAGAAATGACCCAAAATGACTTGGAAAAAATGTCTGGTTCCATTGACTTACATTAAAAGTAAAGTAGGTTTTTTCCTTCTCCTGTAAAGTTACCATTTGAGATACGAGGTTTTGTTCCGACAACAGTGGTTAACAGCATTTCTGTAAGATATCGAATGAACTACATTTGCATGTAAACTCTCTCCTTTGCTGCCCAAGTGTTCACATCTCCTCTGGCAAGATACAGCATTGCATTTACCACAAATCTGCCAACCAAAACTTAATAACACATCTGTCTGCAGTTTAAGCCTTAGTCTGTTTCGCACTGTATCACATCTTGGCCTTTCTAGACTAACCCTGCCTTCACACCGGCAGCAACTTTTCGCCTCGTCACCCAAAATCGCTGATCACTCATCGCCTTTGGGTGTTTCTAAACTCCAGTGGACCGTTGGTTGCCATGGTTTCACTGGCGCCAAGCACAAATCAGATGCAATCCTGCTAAAATTAAAAATCCTGGTGAGAAATCGCTTGTGTGCTTATTTTTATGTAATCCCCGTGTCTGTGCAGTCAGTGTGTGAGGAAAACAATATTTGGTCTTTGCGATTACTGTTTATTTGCAACGGTGCACCGCCGCCATTATTCAACCCGTAGTAGGAACAATTATCTAGGAACCAAAAATGGTACTGTTTCACAGTGGTGGAGATAAAGCGCGTACTACGCTGCTCAATGCCCACTTTGCGTCGCCAACCTTCACCCTGCCTCCTGTTGCCAGAAATCGCCAGCTTTCACTGCAAATGGATCACCTCTCGCTGCCAGCGTGAATGCAGGGTAAGAGAGGTAAACTCAGCAGGCTACCTGTGACAATGTAGGACACTGTCCTTTCAATGTATTATGGTCATTTTCTTCGTAACAAGCATAAAAAAAAAATCACTAATAGCATGTTAATGTCTCGGTAGCTAGCTAGCTAACTTTCTCGTTCCACCTTAAATAGTCCAGCAGTATTGATGCCTGAAGCACCAGAATGTAACTGCTGCACCATGAATAATTCAAACAAGAAGCTGGTGAATATCTGATTTCAGCTTCGTATCACCAATGAATTATGGGTGGGTGATAATAAATAATTGCCCCCCCTCTTTGAAGTCATATGATTCCCTAAATGTAACTAAAGCCCAGCAGTGAGGAGCTGAACTTTACCCTCCTCTGCTGTCACTGCAGACTGGCAGGGTCGCCTACAGAGCAGCGCTGGTAGCTGTTAATGAAGTAATTTTTTTTTCTGTTGTCCCATTTCGAGGGCAAGATTTTAACCACTACCCCTTGTAACTCAGTTGATTAACTCAGGGTGACACTCGAAAACAAGGTGTAGGGGTAAAAAGAAGAAATGGGATTGGGCCTTGCACTCCCTCCACTTTCAGCTGAATTGCTGGAAACTAAATGTATGTTTCATTTGTAGTAGAGATGTTTGAGTTGCCTGCATATAATATTTATTAGTCTTGCTCAAATACTTACAAAATTATTAAGTGAAAACTAAAATGTTTTAAGATGGGCTGCGCTCTCCCGACACAAAAGAAGATCAGTATAAAATCCTCTTTTCTGTGCTGCTTTAAAGAGGAGTTGTGTTTCTGAACCGGCTGATTATAATGCAGAAAACCCACTACTAAACAGAATCCATTCATTTTGCCCTTTATCAATTAAATACACACAGGCCAAAGCCGTGAAGCTAAAGCCTAATAAAAGATTAATGATCCAATTCTAGTATTTAGCATATTCCCGCTGAACTAAATCACACGGCGCTGTGTTTTTACTCTCAGCAGTTAGCAGGCAGTTGGATGGGGATGGGAATGCCCTGCAGCATGTACTGTAAATGTCACTCCCTTCAACGTGATAAATTTGACAAAGTGTAAACATTACGGCCTGCTTGTAAATGACTTTGGAGCGCCAGAGGAAAAATAAACCTGTTTGTCTTTTGATGCTGAGCAAATATCGCAGTCCATTATGTTCCAATAACAAACGGCGTGATTTCCAGTAGAGTTCGGATTTAATAAGCATCAAGACGGGAAGGAAAACTTCAGTCTGTGTATAAGTGTGCTTGAGGGGACCTCAGAAAGGGTTGGTCAGACTGCAGCTGCTCTCTGCCTTAAGCGAGAAAGACAGCAGGGGTGAGAATCACTAGTCTCTCGATATGATATCACGATACTTGAGCCATGATACATGATATATATTCATACATACACACACACACAATATATATATATATAATATATATATATATATATATATATATATATATATATCATAAATGTCAAAAATCGATTTTCTAAATATTTAATTTATAACATAATGTTGATGGAACGCAAAAGGCGGAACTTGGAAGTGCGGAAGTGCAGCGCCCGGACAGTCTGTGGCGGCACATAACAAAAACACAACTGGATGAGCGAGAAATCCGACCGGCTCCCTCTGCATTAAAGCCAGGTTAGGTCAGGAGTCACAACACAAATGATAAGAAGAGCCATTTTGTGTCCAGTATTTAATGTCCAGTATGTCTCAGTGTGTGCTGATGTCCTAGTATAGGCTAAACAATATAAACGAGAGTGCAGATTTACTTCGCTCTGCTTTAAGCTTTGCCTACAGCCGCTTTCCTCCCATTTTCCTCAGGAAACTTTTCTTCAAAAGTAGAGCAGCTTATTGTAAAATGTCTCAGCGTTCGACTGTTTTACGAGGCTGAAGTCGCTTCTCATTCTCCAGCTTCTTGTTCGAATTTTTCCATTCCGCCTTAAATTCTGACTGAGGCGCTGAATGTAAATGCGGCACCATTTAAGGTGGAACGGGTGGTCATCCGTTACCACTGGATCTTATTTCACCATAACTGCGCATTTTATCGCAGATGAGTGGCAGCAGCGTCTCCAATCAAGAGCACTGAATAAGAGCCTTCTAGTTCACTTCCATTTGACTTATTAGTAAAAGATATTGGAAGTAAATTCATTATGGATCATTATAAATACTTTGCTTTAACATTACCAGGTCCTCACAGTAAGAAAATAGAAATGCTGTATAGAAAAATAAGATGCTTCGAGATGCATCGATAATCGTTTTATAATCGCGAGATTCCCACCCCTAATATATACAGTTCTAGATATATCTGACTGAATACATACGTTGAGCTTTAGAAATGGAGAACAGCAGTAGTTCTATGTCAGGGCTCCTAACTGAAAGAGTAAAGTCACAGTAATATTGCAACATTCAAGGCGAAATATATGTTAATGACTGTTACACTGCAAAAAATGGTCCCTTGTCAAGTGAAATGATCTTAAATGTAGTCGATATATCTAACATTTCCCATTTGGAGATGGTTGAGCTCTTATTATAAGATTATCTGTCTTATTTTCAGATTTTTTTTACTTGTTTTAGGTCATTTTATTAAGTAAAATTATCTCACTATACTGGCAGATCATTTTGCTGGTTTCAAGCTCATTTCTTAAAACATGCAAAATGATCTGCCAATATACTGAGATAATTTTACTTGATGAAATCACTTAAAACAAGTTAAAAATGTCCAGAAATAAGGTAAACAGTCTTAAGTTAAGCTTACAACAATCTCAACAGGAGAAATATTACATTTCTTGACTATATTTAAGATACTTTTACTTGACAAGATACCATTTTTTGCAGTGTACAGGCTCTAAATACAACATTAGGAATGCATTTTACAAGTTTAGAATGTCCATTTAATCAAGAACGGCCAAAAACTGCTGTTAGCTTTGCCCTAAAGTACTACTAGAATTCCATAGGGGAGCTAGCAGAAATTAGCAATATCTTAGGGCTATTTCCTCCCCTTACTTGTGAACGAGTGTTCCCATTTACGGCCTGAACTGAAGGCTTATCTCTAAAAGTCATAGTTAAGCACAGCCACAAAGTACTGATATTTAATTAAACATCTATACAAGGGCTTCATGTATCAACATCGAACTATTGTGACACAACGTCATGTTGGTTTTTCCTCCCAACCCTAAAAGTTAGAGAAGAAAAAGTGTTCACTCTGTTTACCGCCTCCTGAGAATCTGGGCTACGGCCGAATACCAAACGCTCCTTATCAGGCTCTCTGTGATCGGCCTTCGCGATAAGCAGTCAGGTTGCCTGGACTCAGAGTGGGAGAAGCGAGCCTGAATGATTTCTGCACCTCGCTGCGCCAGGAGTCTTATCTCTTACAAAATGTCTCGTTTGATTTTGCACAAATGAAAATGTGAAAATGCCTCTGCGGCTGGCAAAAGCAGAGTCAGGAAAACAACACAACAGACACTCGGGAGGAAGCTCCTGGGAGAAGTGAGGCACGCTGGCCTGAGAGGCTTCAGAAAATCGATTCATATAAATAAATCACACAAAACTTCGCTGACAGCAGCAACGTTCAAGTCCCTCAGTCAATTTCTCAATATTTCTTCAACATTTCCGACAGACTTCATCGGCGTGCTGGTCGGGGTGATGGATCGCCTCAATGCGAGGCTTCATTGTTACGGTCAGAACAAGGTTTGAAATGTTGGCAGAGAGCTTGTCAGGGCAGTTACATCAGTCAGGTGGTTCGTGCTTAGATGGCATTTAACCCTTAGCGGTCCAGAGTTATTACTGTGGTTATGCTACGCTATGTAAAGGGCGCTTCTCCTACTTTTTTCTTTTCTTTCATATTTTTCTCTGCTTAGGACATCTGTGTGGGTTTATGTACTGAAAAACATAACTTACTTTTACACGACCATCTTACAACCGGCTTTGTTCCCTTAGAATTAAACAGGCTGTTTTGGTTACTGTATTGGGCCTTATAGATAAAGCAGTCTGGGCTGAAACACTGCGTATAACTTCAGTGTGAATGGGCGGGGCTAAACTGATGGAGACTGAAATAGGCCTTATATAAATATAAATGTCTTTGTATTTGTATCAGTTTGCATATATAGACTGAATGTTACTTTTTAAAACTAAAAATATGGTTTAAATCTATAATTAATGCCCCCTTTAAAAATTTTGGGGGGTGTGTGCACGCTTGTTCATTCTGTGCTAAGTACGCTTACACAATGTCGTTAGTTTTGTACCGTTTGTGTGTGTTTTGATGTTTTCCTGCTGGCTAAGGAGTTTGCCATCATATCCACAGAGACAGCAGCCGAGAGTGATTTTCCAACTGAGGCTCAGAGGCTTCTTGTGCTGGCCGTTTGGGTGATGCTACATCACAGCTATTAGGCGGCCTGGACATCACAGCTAAGTGGCTGCTTGGACCGGCTGCTTGAGTGACGCTGTATTGCAGCTACAAGGCTGCAGGGACCTGATCGACACTACATCACAGCTAAGTGGCTGCTTGGACTGGCGTCTTGATTGACGCTGCCCTGCAGCTGTGGGGCTACCTGGACTGATGGTATTCAGCAGTGTGAGCAGCGCTACGCTGTGGCTATGAGGCATGTCGGGTTGGCTGCCTAAGTACACTCGGCCGGCCACTTGAGTGACGCTGCACCGTAGCCAAGAGGCTGTCTGGACAGGACCGGTGGTGTTCGGCTGCTGGAAAACGCTACCCCTTCATGGCTAAGGACGTTTTCGGCCTTCGAGGCTTCCGAGGCTGGCTGCCTGTGTGACACATCGTAGTTGTGGAGTGAGTCTTTTCGGGCTGGCTAGGTGACTCCATACTGTGGTCATTGTTATCCCCCCTCACTAGCCGTTGGAAATGTAGAGTTGTGTTTGTGCGTTCTGTGTTGTTTTATTTATTGCCGATTATGTATTTCATTACTTTTTATCTTTTAGTAAAGCGACCTTGGGTTTGAGAAAGGTGCTAGATAAATTGAACCGATTATTTAATATAATTACATGCTTATGTATTTATTTGCATTAAGTAATTTATTTACATTTAAATTAACATCATTTACATCTAAATGATGTTTCAGTTAGGGAAATTATAGAAGCATGGCAAAAATGAAGGATGTAAAGGGGTGAAGGATGTTTTTCCTTACAAACAAGACTGAATACACACCAATAACTTTTCATAAAATTCAAAACAATAAAATAGCTCCTACTTACAAACACAAATATGAACTGAAAGCGTAGAATCCACACTTTCCACACAATGTCTCAGCTTGTTTCAATAATAATTCATATCAAATTACAACATGCTTTTGTCATTGCCTAAGATAAGTGCAACTTCTAAGAGCTAATATTAATCAATCACACTCTGAACAGCAAACATGGTTCTGCTGAAGTGCCGCCTGGAGCAGAGATCCGATCCAGTCCTCCTCAAATCCTCGCGATGAACTCAGCTAAACAGCTAGTTGCAGATCTCAAAAACAACTCTATCCTGAACTATCAGCCTGTAAAAATGCATCAAACTCGACAATGTATGAAGCAGCGATGGACGTCACAACAAACGTGCATCATCATAAGGAGTTTTTTTAAGTAACTGAATAAATATTTGCTCATTTTTGTTTGCCTATACTGAAATAAAACTATGCATATTAAGTCATGTTTGCAGCCTGACTGTATTCAGACTGAATACCTCACGTAACTCTTTCAGGCTACAAAGTCTCCGCAAGCGGACGCCATTAGCAGTCACGCAGTTTTTTGATGCTTCATCAGATGTTGTGCTTTGCAACAGTGGCACTGTGTGTCCTCGTTCAGCCTCACAAGGCACAAAAATGTGCTTGCAGTTTTGATGTTAGCAGCTGTTCATATTTCATTTTTGTTCTTTTGTAATTTTTATTTTTGTTCCTTGCTTTCTTAAAGGAGAGCTTAGCTAGAATTCTTAAAAAAAAACTTGCGGCACACCCAATCAGAGGCAGAGTATTTTAATATTAATTTAACACTGCTGACAAAGTCCAACAACTTCAAACAATGCATTCTATGCCCATATCGCGCAGCCCCACGACTCAGCAGCAGGGCTGAGTCTTAGAATTCAATCCCTTCATGGCACTGACGGTGTTAAATAATTCTGTCATTTATAGCGGTGTAACAATTTCATTACGTAAAAACCAAATCTGAAACCGTGTACTGAAAAACGTATCACTGAAATGCCTCTGGGTCTTTTCAGAGGGTCTCTCGTTTGACATGTTTCATGGAAACCACTGCTCGCTGATCAAAACTAGACTTCCGGGACGTCCTATCAGATGGAAGTGAGTGAGTGAGGGGGCAGGTCTTCAGTTATGCTTGTTATAAATCAATCATAATTTGTAGGGACTGTGATGTTTTGAGTTTATTTTGTCAGAGGGCGGCTTTTAACACACAGTCTAACACTGAACAGCCTGAACTGACCTCTGAGAGAGAGAGAGAGAGAGAGAGAGAGAGAGAGAGAGAGAGAGAGAGAGAGAGAGTGTGTGTGTGTGTGTGTGTGTGTGTGTGTGTGTGTGTGTGTGTGTGTGGACAGTACGTTCTTTGTTACTGCTCACATACCGGTGTGTTCTAACACTACAGTGTGTACTGAGAGAGAGAAAGAGAGAGACAGAAAGACAGCAAGAGAGTCGTCTTTCTCCTATTCTTTCATCTACATGTCAACATCTCTCTCCTTCTCTCTCTTCCTTCCCCATTTCTTTCTCTCGTCTTTGCGTTTGTCTTCTGTCTGTATTTGTCTCTCTCTGTCCTACTTTTATCTGTTCTTATTTCTGTCTCGGCCTTCCACATCTTTTTTTCTCCCTGTCTCATTCATTCTCTCTCTCTCTCTGTCTGTCTCTCTCAAAACCTGTGTGCGATTTCTAATAGTATGTTAGCGCTAAGCTAATGGTGGTGCACATGTAGTACTTGTACCACTTTTACAGGTTTACTGAAACCTGGTTAGACGACAGCTCATACTGACAGCTGTGTTGAGATGTTGAGAACTTCCAGAAGGTCTGGAGTTAATGCTGAACAAAACTCATTTGTACTCATCATTTTTTTAAGGTATTTTATTTTATTTTTGTGTCTGTTTAAACTTGTCAGAATGTAAATGTTGTGAATGTATCATGAACATTTCCTAAAGAGTTGTGATATGATATTTCTGCCATATTGCCCAGCCCTGTGCTGATTCCACTGTCACTTCCTAATTATGCTGGTAATTGACGTGTAAGGCCTTCAGTGTAGATCCTGAAGTCCTAACCAATGGGAGAACTCGACAGGCTGTATCTATCAAGGTAGCACAGAGACTGGACACGTTTCTGTTGAAATGAGTATTTAAAAATAAAATACTGAAGCTAATGAAATAAATTAAGCATGATAATTCTATTAAATAAAGATTAACTAAAAATATTAGACTTTTTTTAGCTGCATAAATCAGAAAGCCTTCTCTGTCTATTTCTCTCTCTCTCTCTGCCTCTTTTTCTCTTTCTTCATGCTTGTTTCTCTCTTTGCATGTCCTCCTCTCTCTTGTCCCCATGACGCCTCCCACGTCCTCCCTCTAAAAGCTGGTATCTCACCTCTCCCTCACGAACTCCGCCAGCTCCTTGGTGGCGATCTGCCCGTGCTTCATGTTGTGGTAGAGCACGTCAAAGCCCGCATTCTTCTCCCCCTGAAAAACACACAAAAACAAACGAACGTGAGGCATGCTGTGTGTGAAGACAACAAGAGTGCAAAACGTGAATCACACGCTTGAAATATACTGTAAGTGATAACACGACCGTCGTCGCTCTAAACGTGCCACAAGCTTTAAAGCCTAACCAGATAACAGCCAAGCCTTAAGGCGAAGGACAGGCTGAGACACGTCTAACCTCAAACTGTTCAGCTGAATGAAAACATTTGCATCCGTTAGAGTCGACCACAGACCATGGAGAAGAGCCAGCCAGGTGCCAGTCAAAATCTCTGAAAGCTGGAGACTCAATTAGCTCAGACGCTCTTCTACAGACGATCTACCAATGTTCACAAACTAGAACAGACAGCCTGGCGAAACCGCTCATTCCCAGCTTTGTTAAAGGACACATATCATGGGAAACCAAACTGCCCTTGTTTTTAAATGAAGGAGTTTGAGGTAATATGGAAACACTGTTAAAGATTCAGAACACACTATTCACCACAAAAAACGGACCACTTTGAATTCATCGTTTCTGTGATGTCAGGAGGACCAACTCATTTGCACACGTCCACCTATTCCAGTATTTTTAAAGACGGATATTCCGAGTGAAGGTGCAGTAGATCGGGCTTGATTCCGTCTTCAGGCAGTGACTGCCAGAGTTTTTAGCACTGTTAGCCTGGCAGCTCCAGGTCTAAACTAAAGAAGAACATCAAACATGTCTTGGCTGATCGATTTCAACTGAGATTAGCAGAAAATCATGTAAATCTGGATTTTTGGGAAATTAATATAAGAGTCAGGTCCTTTGATATAACCATCCAAATAAAGCGTCACCAGAGAATCGACAGCATTTAAGGGGTTAATACACACATTACTGTGGTGAAACAACACAGGTTCATGTTTATTTGTAGTGCAAAACTCTTATTTGTTTGGCCAAAACTCTGGTGCTTATTTTGGGGTGGGGTGTGTGTGTGTGTGTGTGTGTGTGTGTGTGTGTGTGTGTCGGTACACACATCACACACTGCACGGTTTTTGCGTCAAAGCAAAAACAAAACACGGAAAGGCAGAACGTGGCTGGCTGCGTGTGAGAGTTAAAGGGTCACACGTGAGAGAGAAACGTGAGCCTGTCCAGACTCAGCGCTGCACTGTGGCTCTGAACTTTCAGCCGATCCTTCAATGATAACCTTACGAACAAAATAACACATCCTGCAGGTCAGTCAGCGTAAAAATAGACCACCCTGTTCTTTTATCAGAGAGCAGAGAATGTCAACAGAGAGAGAGAGAGAGAGAGAGGGAGGGAGAGAGAGAGAGGGAGAGAGAGGGAGAGAGCCAGAAAAAGTAAGGAGAGAGAGAAATGAGAAAAATGGAGACAGAAGAGGAGACATAGAGATAAATGAAGAGAAAGGGGTGAGAGAGAGAAAAAAAGGGAGACAGAGAAAAGAGAAAAAGGGAGAGAGAGAGAAAAAGAAAGAAAGAAAGAAAGAAAGAAAGAAAGAAAGAAAGAAAGAAAGAAAATGATCAAGAGACAGAGAAATGGAGAGAAAGAGAAAAACAGAAAATAAATGAGGAGAGAGAAAAGAGAAAAAGGGAGACAGAAGAGGAGACAGAGAGAGGAAGGAAGAGAAAGGGGTGAGAGAGAGAGAGAGAGAAAAAAACAAGAAAAAAGGAGACAGAAGAGGAGACAAAAACAGAATGAAGGAGAGAGAGAGAGAGAGAGAGAGAGAGAGAGAGAGAGAGAGAGAGAGAGAGAGAGAGAGAGAGAGACACACAGTCTCTGGATCCTCTGAATTATGAGGTTGTTGAGCAGCTTAAATATGAATATCACTACAATGTTTGAGTTAACATATCATCATAAGAAGGGAAACCCCACCAAAATACCCCATACAAACCAGTAAACTTTATATGTATGGTAGTGAAGTTGCTGTGGCAGGTTTAGGCTACAGTGTGAGGAGCTGGTGTTGGTATTTAACAGTGTTTAAGTACTTTTGTGTTTGCTTGTAACATGTATGTAGCCACATTCATATTTCTCTGGCCAAATGACAAAACAGCTAAACGTATCAACTCTGGAACATTTCTGTTCACTAGAGGACGCGACAGAGGTGATTTTATAGAATATAAAATATATATATATATATATATATCTTGTTGTAATTCTCTGACAAAACAAGTATACAGCAAATACTGAGAACAGAGAGAATGTGTGTGTGTGTGTGTGTGTGTGTGTGTGTGTGTGTGCTCAGCAGACAGTTTGTCGTAGCAGCTGGTCTGCACGTCTATAAATACAGGGACACGCTGCGCTGACACTATTCTCAGGTGAGAGAGGAATTGTTGGAATTCCTGCAGGATCGGAACTTCCCGCCAAAACAACACGCATCCACACCCTGGAGCTCAGCGAGGGCTCTGAAGGACGCCTGCTCACCGTAAACATATCAGATTCACTGCAGCTTGGATCACATTTAGCTTCAGCACATTCACAATATCTGACGTGTATTAGATATAAAACACATTCAACACAGTCACACTGAACAGGAATCCTCTGAAGAGCTTCAGAGCAGCGGAAAATATAATCACTCAGATATTAAGACTGATATTAAAGAGAAGGAAAGACACATATTCTTCAGACTGGACACTGCTTCGTCTATTGAGTGTGTGTGGTGTGTGTGTGTGTGTGTGTGTGCGTGTGTGTAACTTGAGCCCAAGAAAACTGAGCTGCTCTGCTCCTCCCTACACACTATCAACACACAAGACGGCCAGGAACACGCCCCACTCCCCCAACACACACACACCCACCCATACACACACTTTTACACACTGGTCTCAGGATACGGGATCATACACAATCTCATGGGCTGCAAATCGCTGCTGTCTGAACAAAACCTTGTATCTCCAAAATGGTAACTTTACAGGAGAAGGAAAAAAGCCTACTTTACTTTAAATGTAAGTCAGTGACCAGAATTCTTTCCAATCCGTTTTGGGCTGTTTCTTTTGGTCCATTCATCATGAGATTTACAAATAATATAAAGGACAAAAGGCATTTTCAAATTTAATCAAAAACTGAAAAATGACAAAAATGGAGATACAAGGTTTTGTTCCGACAGCAGCGATATGTACGTGGATAATAATAATAATAATAATAAGAAGAAGAAGAAGAAGAAGAATAATCACACACAAGCAGCTAAATATATCAGAAAATCAAACTGAAGACTCAACAACTAAATATGATATTGAATATAATATCAAATTGCAAAACTAGAATTGAATCATTAAAAGTTGCAGAGAAATTGGGCCTCCTAACAACCACCTGGAAGACCTGGTAGACACAAAACTGCCCCATCATATAAACAGCACTGAAAGCTTTCATCTTTGAGAGAGAGGAGAAAATCAAGCTCCCACTTCTTGCTACATACTGTAAATACTGCTATACAGAGCTTTTGTAAAATGCGCATAAAGTCAGGACCATTTTGTTGCTCCTATAAGTTCACTCATTTTCCCCTAATGGACACACAGCACACACACACACTCACACACACACACACACACACACACACACACACACACACACACACACACACTCACACACACACACACACACACACACTCTCTCTCACACATATATAAATAAATAGCTGCACTGTTATTGTACAGATCAGATATGAGATTAGAACAAAAAATAGCCTGATAAGATTCAGTGTTACTCCAACCCTGACACTGAGATTCACTCCTACAGTTAAACTAACCAAACACTCCCGACAGAGAGAGAGAGAGAGAGAGAGAGAGAGAGAGAGAGAGAGAGAGAGAGAGCGAGAGAGAGCGAGAGATAAAGTGAAAGAGCAAAAGCAAAATCAACAGGGAAACAGAGATAAAAAAGAGAAAGTGAAAGAGCATGAAGAAAAGAAAGCAAAATACCAGAAATGCAAAAGAAGGAAAGGAAGAACGAAAGAATAAGAGAGAAAATGAAAGACTGCATGCAGAAGATCACATCATGTGTGTGTCCCGGTGTTTCCCACCTTGGGAACGGTTGCTAAAGTGACAGGGTTCCCCTGGTAACAGAGAGAGAGAGAGCGAGAGAGAGAGAGAGAGAGAGAGAGAGTAAGAGAGAGAGAGAGAGCGAGACAGCGAGAGAGCGAGAGCGAGAGAGAGAGAGAGAGAGAGAGAGAGAGAGAGAGAGAGAGAGAGAGAGGGGGGGTGTATGACAGCCTTCAGAGAGGTTATAGGAGGTTAGAGTGTCTGTGTGACTGGTGAGAGAAAGAAAAGAGGTGGGTGAAACAAACATAGAACAGGAGAGAAAGAGAAAGAGAAAGAGAAAGAGAGAGAGAGAGAGAGAGAGAGAAGGAGGAATTCGTCTGATGTTTAAACAATTCTGCATAATTATGCTATTGAGAGGTAAACAACGCCATTTAGAGTGGTTTAATGTGAAACAGTTAACCTTAGAGGAACTCTGATTTCTTTACAGTGGTGGTGATGGGAACCGGGTGTCGCCATGTCTACAACACAAATACAGCCATTTTATTTTACTATCCAAAACCATGCATGTACCTCTCCACCATGAACGAATCTGAAAAATATGTTTCAAAACCTTCTCAGAAACCATCACAAACAGTGTCTCAGACATTAGAAGCCAATTTCATGCAGTACCTTTCTGTGAGGGAGCTTTAAAGGAGAACTCCACCGCTTTTGCAAAATGACTCAATTAGACGTGAATCAAGTCATTCAGAGTGGGTCGGTGTGAAATGCGCCATTCTAGAGAAGTTTACAGAGTCAGAATTGTTCACCATTATAGTACTAGGAACCAGACGTCCGACACATTTAATGGTTCGAAAGGCTACATGCCATTAAGTTATTACACAAAATGGTTATGAATGTGTTGCTTGATGTCTGATTCGTTGTTCTGTGATTTGGTATAAGGACTTGACCTAAAAAGTATTTAGTGTGTATTTCTGTGTTTCCTCTCAAAACCACATTCTCAGCCGTTCAACACAGCTAATGCCGCTGTTGTGTCGGAT